GCATAAATAGCCTACGCATTTCCTCTTTGTGTATGCAGACTCTACCAAGTCAACACTATTAATACTGACACTAACAGCAATTTAAATTTTTTAAAAATATATAGCAACGATGACGTATATATAATTTTTTGTAAAAGAAATTTCGAAATATTTTCATGCATTTATTCTTCATACAATCGGCTAGTTCTCTTTGTTTCACTATACAAGCACTGACTAAAGCAGTGCCCTACAGAAACAAACGTGTCAACACCAGATCTGCAAAAAGTGAACCTTGCTGAGTTCTTCGCACCCTGGCTTGGAGAGTATGACTTTAGCATAACCTCATCATAGGAGTGGTGTTAGCACCCTGGCTTGGAGAGTAGTACTTTAGCATAACCTCATCATAGGCGTGGTGTTAGCATCCTAGCTTGGAGAGTAGGACTTTAGCATGGCCTCCTCATAGGAGTGGTGTTAGCATCCTGGCTTGGAGAGTAGGACTTTAGCATGGCCTCCTCATAGGAGTGGTGTTAGCATCCTGGCTTGGAGAATAGTACTTTAGCATGGCCTTCTCATAGGAGTGGTGTTAGCATCCTGGCTTGGAGAGTAGGACTTTAGCATGGCCTCCTCATAGGAGTGGTGTTAGCATCCTGGCTTGGAGAGTAGGAAACTAGCATGGTCTCATCATAGGAGTGGTGTTAGCACCCTGGCTTGGAGAGCAGGAATATAGCATGGTGTCATCATAGGGGTGGCGTTAGCACCCTGGCTTGGAGTAGAACTTCAGCATGGCCTCATCATAGGGGTGGTGTTAGCACCCTGGCTTGGAGTAGGACTTTAGCATGGCATTCTCGGAGGGATTTTTATCATGACCATATCTCCATTTACAGATGTCAGTATGTTTTACTGTATGTCACTGTATGACATCAAAGATACTGACACCTGTAGATGGAGGTGATGTCATACAGATATTTTTGAAATACAAAAGAACTTACACTAGCATGTGACTTGGACTTTAATAAGAAGTCACACTAGCATATGACTTAGACTTTAATAAGAAGTCACACAGATATGGCTTAAAATACTTTTAAACCCATACATTATGACTTGACTCACACAGATGACCCCACACAGATGTGACTCTTAACATATGACCTCACAGATGTGACCCTTGACATATGACCCCACACAGATGTGAATCTTAACATATGACCTCACACAGATGTGAATCTTAACATATGTCCCAACACTGATGTGACTCTTAAATATGACCCCACACAGATGTGACCCTTGACATATGACCTCACACAGATGTGACTCTTTAACATTTGACCTCACAGATGTGACTCACTAAAATGATATTTAATCTACAGACCACGACCACGAACACAATCAAGTTATTCTGTATTGTTCACAATAGATCTGTCCTTATTTTTGTTACGTTAGAGCAAATCACAAATAGATCTTTAACATATGACACATGAGAATCTATATGCTTCCGGAAAAAGTGTTTAAAAATACCAACTCTGAAATGATGGCTTTGTTTACTTATGCTATTCCAGTATTTCTTATGATCATTTATGTACCATAATGTTGTATTGTAGCACGTCTTGGTGGCCCAGTACATCAGACTATATTGGTTTAATTACTTAGTTAAGAGTTGAGTGTGATCCCATTTATCACACAGTTTGGTGTGGGGGTTGTTGGGGGGGGGGGGGAGTGGAGGGTGAGGGGAAAAGGTTAAAGAGATTTGATATTCAAGGGCTCTCAACCTACTTGGTGGCCCAGTACATCAGACTATATTGGTTTAATTACTTGGTTAAGAGTTGAGTGTGATCCCATTTATCACACAGTTTGGTGTGGGGGTTGTTGGGGGGGGGGGTGAGTGGAGGATGAGGAGAAAAAGTTAAAGAGATTTGATATTCAAGGGCTCTCAACCTTAGACTATCAGTACAGATGATCTATGCCTAACTGGTTGCACCGCCAAGCCATCTTTTTAAATGAGATTTGAGAAGCTCTGGGGTTTATACTCAACGCTACAACTCAACTGTGATGTCAAGTAACAGTGTCCGACTAAAATGATCAGCGAACAGAGCTTTGCGTTAGCTGCCCAACATAAAAAGTTAGGGGAAAAAAAACACAACATAAAATTGCAAATCCATCCAAGAATCTTCACAACCCGTCACTTATTTTATAGAAGAAACAAACAAACAAAATTGTCTGCATCAAATACAAATTAAAAAACACCAAAAAAACTTGTTCATGCATTCTGTCAAATTTTACTCACAATATGAATCACCAGGACTTTACACTGGAGAGTATCAAAACAAAATTAATCTTACAACATTATTAAGGTTGTATTTGTAAAGAAAAGAATCATAAAGGGTTGGGGGGGATAACTGAAATTGATTAGGTTTTAATGTTCTGTGACATGTAGAAACAATTGAACACTGCAAAGTGCAGAATAACAGTATAGTGACTTTGCCAAAGTTGTTTATAAATACAAACTGGTGAAAATGGCATCCGCTTCTCTGTCCTGAGCAGTCAGACAGCTGTTCATTATTGCTGAAATCATATCTATAATAGCAAACATGTAGCCTGTTCAAACAATGAAATCGTAGAGAAACTGAAGTGCAGAAATGAATTAGCTTTTAAACCATGATGCAAAAAAAGACAAACCTGTATGTTAATTATTGAGCTGGGCTTGAACTAGCGAAATATGTTACTCTGATATGTGGACAGTTTTATGGACAGTTTTAGAATCTCACTTTTAATTTTACTTATTATGTTACTCACAAAAAAACTCATTCTGAAAACCTCACACATACCTTATATTATTCACATATGCTGACAGTCTTCAAATTTAAGCCTCAGATATAACTTATATTATTCATATATGCTGACAGTCTTAAAACCTAACGCATAATTTAAGTTATTCACATTTGCTGACAGACCTTGAATCTCTCATACAATTTACAATCTTAAGATATGGTTGCAGTTGTATGTCACATATAACAACAACAATTAACTTGGCCACACAGTTGCCCTGGTCTTAGAGAAAGACAACATGCAAGAGCAGATTTTGAAACATCCACTAGTTCTTTTTAAACAATGTGAACTCATTATTGGGGAACATAAACAAAATGTAACAATTCAAATGTTTGTTTTTTTTGTATGTAGGACCTAACTCAGGGAACTGTTGAATCCTTGAGTTTGAAATGTATGGTCGCCAAATACCAGTCAGGAATGTTTCACCCCTCATAGTTCCCTGGATCACGTGGTATTCATATGCTGTTTGATATGATCTCTCACACTGTGACTAGGACCCCGTTACGGCAGATCAGTCGTGCCATTGATCTCTCACACTGTGACTAGGACCCCGTTACAGCAGATCAGTAGTGCCATTGATCTCTCACACTGTGACTAGGACCCCGTTACGGCAGATCAGTCGTGCCATTGATCTCTCACACTGTGACTAGGACCCCGTTACGGCAGATCAGTAGGGCCATTGATCTCTCACACTGTGACTAGGACCCCGTTACGGCAGATCAGTCGTGCATGGCGCAGCACCTGTCAGATTCATAAACGCCTACCAAGCCAACAGAAGAGATAACAAGTCGGTTCATGTAGGATCACAAGTCCTAAGCCAAAACATAAAGGTACAAACAATTTTTATTTTAAATAACGAAAGTGACCAGCCCAAAAAAGAAAACGATGGCGGCCGCGATGCATCAGATTCCCATCTACAAGGTTACTCGGCAAAACATCCAAGTAATGCACCTTTTTAAGATCCCCAATTAGCGCTCACTTCTCGCTATTTTATTTAGCGCGCCTCTCAAACCCAGGGTTACAGCCACACACACACGCACCTTGAAAATGATTATTTGTGATTACAAGACGCAATATCATCATTACATTTTTCATTGCAAAAGAAAGAAACTTATCGATGCATTTGGCAAACAAAATAATCATATTTTATCTGGTTCAACAAAACTGAAACTAATTTAGTCAACTCATCAACACATTTCTATACAAATAACATTGTTGCATAAGCCAACACAGAATTAACTTTGAAATTAATAAAAACCTAAAGCCAACAAAACTATTCCTACCCAAAAATATGGCTGGTTTGACACTGAATTCTTATGGCTCCCAACTGTGATTGTGATGACATCTATTGGTTGGATATGAAACATGGTTTGTGCTTGCGTGCGTAGTTGCATGTCAATTATTACATAAACATTCCAAGTAAATACATCAACGTTACATCAAGTATTGGGTGCATACCATTAACACTGGCTGTGTACATGTGGAACATACTCAAAGGCTGTGGGAATGATAAACGTTGCCATGGGTGACAATAGAATTCTGATGAAAGAATTTAGTGTACGAATCTCTGCCAAACGGACCGAGCTGGTGGCCAACCCCAAGAGAAATGGAGGTACAATGACATATAATGTCAACTAATACTGATGTGATGAATACCTTGTGAGCCATACCTTGTTGAGTGGCCAGAAAAGGTGATCTAGACCAGCTCTAACGATGAAGCAATCCACAGAGCCTGCCTACAAGGGTTGGATCTATGATCAGCAAGCCAGGCCGGCAAAGTGAGTTAGACCAGCTCTAATGATGAAGCAATCCACAGAGCCTGCCTACAAGGGTTGGATCTATGATCAGCAAGCCAGGCCGGCAAAGTGAGTTAGACCAGCTCTAATGATGAAGCAATCCACAGAGCCTGCCTACAAGGGTTGGATCTATGATCAGCAAGCCAGGCCGGCAAAGTGAGTTAGACCAGCTCTAATGATGAAGCAATCCACAGAGCCTGCCTACAAGGGTTGGATCTATGATCAGCAAGCCAGGCCGGCAAAGTGAGTTAGACCAGCTCTAATGATGAAGCAATCCACAGAGCCTGCCTACAAGGGTTGGATCTATGATCAGCAAGCCAGGCCGGCAAAGTGAGTTAGACCAGCTCTAATGATGAAGCAATCCACAGAGCCTGCCTACAAGGGTTGGATCTATGATCAGCAAGCCAGGCCGGCAAAGGTGATTTAGACCAGCTCTAATGATGAAGCAATCCACAGAGCCTGCCTACAAGGGTTGGATCTATGATCAGCAAGCAATTTGAGACAGACTTTGACGGCATGTTTTTCCATTTAGCCCCGAGCGTATTCATAACAGACTCATTTTGGTCAATGGTGCTAAGAAAATGATGAAACCTTTTGAGGTAACAGTAAGATACTTTTAACTGCCCACTCACTGACCCTAAATGTTAACTCTTCTAAATTTTAAATAACGATATAAAAAATACATAATAATTATGTTTCCTTTAGTGTAACCCAGCCTAAAGGCCACGTCATTCAACTCTTCTGAGAAGAAATAATTCTAAAAAATTATTAAAATAAAACTTGCAAACTCAGATTTTATTTGAATTTGATGGCACTGTTACATATGGGTAGCATAGTCCCCGAGAGCCACTGTTACATATGGGGAGCATAGTCCCAGACAGCCACTGTTACATATGGGTAGCATAGTCCCAGAGTGCCACTGTTACATATGGGTAGCATAATCCCAGAGTGCCACTGTTACATATGGGTAGCATAGTCCCAGAGTGCCACTGTTACATATGGGGAGTATAGTGCCAGAGAGCCATTACAACAAACATAAAGAACCATTATGTTTTTAAGGCCCGACATTAAAAGAAATAAAGATAATCAGAAGATCACCAGAGAAAGAAATACTCTAAAAGACAATGGAAACAGATTGCAACTAGCACCACCAAGGGGGCATTGCCTAGGACGAAAGGAAATAGGCCAGGCAAGAAATAACAGGAGACAAGGAGCTGAAGATGTGATCTGGGGGCAAGCACAAGAAAGATGAGACAAAACTGGGAACATTCAAAAGGATCTTGGTGGCTTGGATAGCTCTTGAATGTGGCCCATGTCCCAGGCAGTGACATACGAACTTGGCATGGCATGACTATCACTTAGAAGCTCACAAATTACTTATCAAATTACATCATATCAACAGCTTTGTAAAAATTCTCTACAGAAAACAAACTTGACTTCATGCCAGAATATAATGAACAGAAACATGTTTGTTTAAATGAAGGCATTCCTTTGTTGTGCTGGAACTCACTCAACCATATCCTGGTTCAGCAAAGTTAACGAGAGCAGGTATCCTCTCCAGCTTGTACACGGTGTTGTCGTTATATTATTATGTTGACGATTAGCTTTCTGAAATGAGTCTGCTCCTCCAATGCTGCACAACTGACATCAGGAGACCGAACTGATGGTTTCCATTATTATACTCATGACATGTGAGTAAAACTTACGGTGTTTGTCCATGAGGTCAAGACAGATCTCATAATGATTGCACTCTGGTATCACTTTCACTTTGACGTTGGCAGAGATTTCTCCCAGGGACTCTGCAAAAGTCAGCGTCGCAGACAGGGGGGCGATGTAGTCTTCACTGCCATGGACCAGCACCATAAGTGGTAAGCTGTGCGTGAAAAGAAACCATATATATAGAAAATAACATATAGAGTTTTAGAGACAATTTTTAGTAGGTCATTTTTAAAGAAATGAAATTTTAGGGAAGACAGTTTTACTGTGCTATATATATATATATATAAAGATGTATCAGAATAAACAGGCTGACCTTCTATATATTAACCATAATATATATATATATATAAAGATGTGTCAGAATAAACAGGGTGACCTTCTAACCATAATATATATATATATATATAAAGCTGTGTCAGAATAAACAGGGTGACCTTCTAACCATAATATATATATATATATATATAAAGCTGTGTCAGAATAAACAGGCTGAGCTGCTAACTAGACAGTGAGTTCTTATTAAGTTATGCAATTTTTCAAAAAAAAGCTTAAAACCAACTGGTGGTCCTGTAAAGTAGCAGCATTGGAGGCCACAGTTTTGAATTGGTTTAGAGGTTCTCCCCGGCTTTTGGAAAATGCTTGAGGGGATTCCTCGGACCAGTGAGTAGGACGGTTTGAAGAGAATCAAGTGAACTTCACCAAAATGTTGGAACACGGGGACCAACTAGGAATGAGATTCAAATCCTCCATTTGTGCCAACTCCCAAACAAAATCAAAACTAGAAGTAGGGAAACAATTTTTTTTTTAAACCTGCCATGAGCAGACCTGCTTACCCTCGAACTCCTAAAATCGTACAATATCGTCTCCGAAATCGTACAATGCAGTTTCTTAAGAGTTAATACATAAATATACAGTACCCTGTATAGTGTTTGCAATAACTATTTGCATCGCATGTCTAGTGGGATCAAGTTAACTAGACATAAAAAAAAAGTAACTTTCAAAAGTGGATGACCAACATTTATATTGAAATCAGCTGACCCTTTGTTTTGCAGACGTGTATCTGCTAGAGATATCAATTCATATTTGGGGGAACGTGCTGATCACTTTATCACACGCTGTCACTGGTAAAAATAAAGTTACTGGTGAAGTTTAATGTGGTTCAAATTCAAAGTCAGTTCAGCACAAAATAAAACTTATTGAAATAAGAATTAATTAACAAATGAGGACGTCATTTACAAAACCTACCAAGTAACTTGACATTTATTTTTTTAGGAAAAAAGCAGGTTTCAGAAAACTATTAACAATCAATATCCATTAAGCCTATTTCCTGTAAACATATTATAGTCTGATAACTACCACAAGCTGTAAATGGGTGAAAGGAAGAGGCGTGTTGTAATCAAACAGGGTTTTAAAAAATCGTACAGCTGTTTGTTGTGTTCTAATAATAGATTTCTAAGGCCCTCTCAGATCCTATAACATATTTCAAAATCTAATTTTGCTGTGCAGAACTGATGAGAATGCATTATCATATTTATAAAAAAAACAAAAAAACTAGTTTACTCCATTTGTTGCACTCACCGCCATTCAGCCAAATGAAATAAATATCAAAAAATTGCACCATACAGCACTGAAGCAAAGCAAAAGCAAGAATCGACTAAAAATGTCATGGGGCGACTATGCTATTATTACTGTTGCCCTGTCATTACAAAAACTTGGCGGTGTTATTTTTATAGACTTAAATATTTAGACACCCCTATCCCCTTACAGCCGTACACAAAATCTCCTAAATCAACACCACTCCCTTCCCCTCTCAAGGCAAACGTAATATAATTATAAATGGTCCCCAACCAATCATTTTTCTTGATCCATTCACTGCTGAATATAGAAAGGGGCTAAAACTTAAAATTTATTTTTTTATTTTACATTTTCAACCTGGTCTCTTAAAATTGTGGTTCAGACAGATCTTGGTGTACAACCGTAAAAGACATCTCAAATTTTACATTGTACGCCAAAATCACAAGAGTAAACAGGTCTGCATAAATGGGGTTTGAATTGTATTTTGTCCTTTTTTTAAAATAAAAAATACATAAACTAACCTCAAACATCTTGCCAGGCTCCGAATTATTTCTTTAGGAGAGAATCTGTCAAAGTGATCCTCACCATAGTGAGCCCTACACATACATGACACATCTTCTATCCCCCGCATAGATTCATGCAGGAAGTGGTCTTTGATACTGTACACACCAGCTAAGCCTGTTAGAGAGGATATTAAATAACGTTTCACATGTGATTATCATTATTCTAAAATACAACTATGTAATAAAATTTAGTTAAAATGATTGTGAAAAATGTACGTATAAATTCTATAATTCTCATTCGCATGCAGTAAATTTGGAATGAAAAATATATCTTCGCAAAAGGTACAAAAAAATACAAGCAAAAATGACTAAAATTAGTGAGAGATATTCAATATTTTATTTGCTAAACACAAGTTTCTTAGCTGTTACATATCTTGTATTTCTTAGGTTACTATTGGTTTATTCTTAACACTCTGATTTCAGTAACTAATGGTGATGAAAAATCAGAATCAATGTAATATAAGTGCTGCCTTACACACCGATAAAAGCTTTGACTGATTTACACATGTCTACAAGGGTGGCATGGCGGTCAATGTCCTTCGGCCTGACGGTCACCACGGAATCATTGTCACCACTCTCATCATTATCATATTCATCGTCCCCCTGGCTTCCAGACTGACTGTTGGGAGGAGATTCTTCTTTAGTGTCTGCTGAAATTGACAGTGTAAAAAATGCTGAATTAATCTCATTCTCAAAAAAGAAACCTACAAGACATCTAGAATTTGGTAAAATAAATAACTTTATAACTAGCTGCCAAGATTTTTGTAAATTTAAAAAATTTCAGTCCCCACTAATTACCAGGTTCCAAGACCTTGACCTCAGCATCAACATTACATGGCAGATCCACCAAGTCAACTGAAGCCGCTTCCTCTACTTCTTGACAAGCTTGGTCGGCACCTCCTGGTTCAACCAGCATAGAACCCTGACTCATTGTCACAAAATCTGATAGATAGGGCAAATAAATGGGAGTGCACATGGTACTATTTTGAAAAGAAACTGGGCCATTGGTTAAACATACAAACAAAGGAAATGGTCATATTCAAACTGTACTTAAATGCATTATGGTCATTGGATATCTAGAGGTCAGAGATCAACTGCAATTAAATGTATTATTGTCATTGGATAACTAGGGGTCAGAGGTTAACTGTAGTTAAATGCATTATTGTCATTGGATAGTTTATAACAAACAAAAGATCAGTTCCCTTTGCCTATCTCCAGGTAAGAATTATATTTTTATGAATGTCAGCATTATATTATTTCTTCAGTGTTCAACAACAACTTACTCACTTTCAGAATTATTGCTGGATGCCATCCTATCAGAGTTTAGACTACTTCCCAATAAACTAGAACCCCCGTTGTCAGTACATCCACCTTGCTCTGTTGAGGATCCATTCTCACTGACCACGGCAAATGACTCGGACGAGCCTGAGCTGTCGTCCAGTCCCTCTTTGGTACGTTCTAGCAATCCTCTCCTTCCATAGTGACTCTCTGCAAAAGACAGCTCGTCCAGCTGTCCGCCCGCCGGGTTGAACTTGAAGGTCGACTGCACGCTCAGCCTTTCATCATGGAGAAGCTCAAGTATGGCCATAACAGAAAGATGGGCCCCAGCGGAGTGTCCTAATAAGATTATCTTGTTCTGTAAGGAAAAAAAAGAGACCAAAATATTTTCACTGTGTTCTAGAGATGGCACAACAGCGGGTTCCTCAAAACATCATTTATGAATCACAAAATAACAACACACAGCATAAATTGTGTTACTTAAGTTACCTGGTGCCATAATTATAAAAACTCTCTCGGAATTACTCTGTCATCTTTCTTTCAAACTCAGCTCCCATTCACAATCACCACAATGTATAAGCAAAAATATTGCTCAACTATGGATACTTCTTTCAACCCCGAGAGATTCGATGCTGATTAAAAATGATCCAACATTTTCTTATTCACTACTAGATACACATGGTAGCTTGAGCTGTACACGGCTGACAAATGCAGATATGCGTTCAAGATTTGGAAGTTTCAATACTGCTTTTTTCTTTTAGCACACTGTACAAATTATTACATTTGTGTGCTACAATGAACGATTGTAGATTAGAGTATTCTGTATAGCAGACACCTTTCCACCGAAGTGGCAGCAAAGCGGCCAAGACCCACAAGAGAGTGGACCGCTAACGCTTTAAATGCAGCGTTTTCGGTTGACCGGATGTCCCCCAGGCCAGGGGGGAGGTTCCCGGCGTGCTTCCGCACGGTCTGGCGGCGGGGAGACCTGGCGTCTGGCCCGTGTGGAGGTGTGCTGGAGGGGTGGGGGATTAAGAGCTCGCGCTCGATGACCCACAGACGCCATTTCTCAATGTGACGTTATTAGTATAGCAGACTCATGAATCGTATATTCCAACACAGATCTTGCGGAAGACTCTAATAGAGAACACCGGAAATTAACATAAATTTTTATGAACGTTTAACATCCCTTTTATTTTTACTACATCATTCATGTCTTAATACATTAATATCTGTAGGCAATTTTCTATTTACTTTGTCTCCCCCATATTCTTGAATGTTGTCAATGACCCAACCAATGCAATCAACAATGTCTTGAATCATATCATCAACATAGCCCTGGAAAAAAAACAAGAGGGGTTTTTTTTGAAGAAAAAAATACATTATCATCATTTTCTTATTACTAGCTTTACACTAAACACCTAATAAATTAAGTTAGTCTTTCAGGAATTGATGAAAATGGCCTGATGATGGCTTGAGGCTTTGAAAGGTAAAGTTAAGGATCATTCAAAGATCTCAGGTTGACCCAATTTTAAGTTCTTAATGTTAAAAAAAGCCCTTTGAAACATATGAGGAAAAGACCACAGAAGTCTGTGCCCATTTGTTACCTTCGGGTACGTTGAATAGTTGGGACAAACTGCTACTGACTTGGTGTGATCTACAATGTTGGAGCACAGTAATCCATAAGAGCTTTTATCTCCTGAGCTCCAGGATCCCCCATAGACAAATATGAGCACAGGCAGGTTGGATGATGGATCCCTATCACCAGGCAGGTACACATCTAATGTGCAGTCATTCCTACCAAAGGCCAAATTCTGTAGATATATATATATATATATATATATATATTAATAAAATGGTAGAGAGAGCAACTTAAAAGAAAAATGTTTTTGTCCAAAAAATAATAATAATGAAATGCACTGTTTCTTACATCAACACATGTAACAGCTCAGAAACTTGTGTTTAGCAATAACAAGATGTGGCGAAGAAAACATTTCAAATGCATGTCAGATACTGTGATGACAAACAAATAGATGATAATTTCTTCATTCAAGAATAAGCATTGTGATTTTGTATACCTGCTTATAAAATTATTCCCATTTCTACATACTTTCAAACATGTAACAGGACATACAAATTTTTTAAGCTCCTCGATACTTTTATTCATAACAAGCTTTAAAAATATATATATATTATGACTCATAATGATGGAGTTATTCATAAATGACTGCCCTGTAAATAAAAAAATATTAGCATACCTTATAAAGCCGCCTTGGATCTGCTTTCTTATAGTATTTTTTCCATTTCAGATAAAGAGGTAGATACTTAGATTTGTCTCTTAGCATCTGCAGTAATACATAATTGAGACCTAAAACCTTCTTAGGGTTCAGTGCACGTCTGTACTTATTTTTGGTCTGAGGCCAACCGTTAAGTATATTGCTAACTATAGCAATAGTGTATGGAATAATAACGACTGATGACACTAGAACCAGTGCTCCTCGTAACATTCGAACAATCATGGTCGCTATATCTGAAAATAGAATTAGATCTGATTAAATTAAATAAAGTTATATCAGACAGAGTAAAAGAAAAAACCATCATATTGAAACAATGGAACTACTGCCTTTAAAACGGGAATCTAAAACGTAACAAGATTAGACGAGGCTAAGGGAGCTTACTACCAAATTTTGCGTCATTACATCAATCCAGCGAGGAGTTATCGTGTTTTTAAAAATGGCTTTTAATTTTCTGCAAACTTTGATAAATGATGACAATGGGCCCTCTCATTTAGATGAAAATGATGAACAATTCAAAACTGTTATTGATGATGATGAGTCTGATGTAGACTTTGATTTAATTAATAATGGGGAAAGGGACAATTCTGATACTAGTGATGAAGATATTAGCACTAGCAGTACTAGGACTAGGCCTAGAGCAAGTGGAAAGTCACTGAGGATGGTGACCATGTTGATCGTGTGTGGTCCAGTATTTTGTAGACGTTCAGTTCCAAGCCATTGAATTAATGCTGATGATTTATTCACAGCATATGATTATTTTTCACTTTTCATTCCTGAAGAATTCTACAGACACTGTTGCAGAAACTAATCGTTATGCACTGGAACTAGCTCTTGCAAAACCAGACACAGCATGAAAGCCTGTGAACATTTCAGACATCAAGCCATTCATATATATATTAACTTTATTTTTGGCATTCATATATATATTAACTTTATTTTTGGCATTCATATATTGCCTAATTACAGATTGCAGACTGTATTGGTCAACAAATGAACTGCTAAATGTTGCAGCAGTGTCAAAAGTTATGTCAAGAAACAGTTTTGAAGCTAATTAAGCTATTGCAAAATATTTTCATTTGAATAATAATCCAAATTTTATTCTGAGAGGTGAGCCATGATCCCATTTTCAAAGTCCGTCCTATATTCGACACTGTACTGGAAAATTCCCTTAGAAGTATGAAGCCAGAGAAGGAGAATTTCATTGATGAAGCCATGGTGGCTTATACTGGACGATTAATTTTTAAACAATACATTAAAAATAAACCTACAACCGGTATCATGTTGTCTTTACAATGGGTGAGCCTTATCTTGACAAGCATCACCATTTTTTCCATGACTATTTATTTTACTAGTTTCAAGCTTGCTGAGGAGTTAATTCAGCTGGGCACATATGCATGTGCAACTATTATACCCTCGAAAAGGTTGGTCGAAGGAACTAAAGAACTTGAAGCTAAAAAAATCAGCACCTGAATTGGGAGTGCCATTTTCATTTAGGCAAATTGGAAACCTTGTCACATGTATTTTCTCATGACAATAGACCAGTTCAAGAATTTTGTCTACAAATTTCGCAGGCAACTATGTCGACAACACAGCGAAACACAGCCACTAGACATGTTGATATCCAGATACCAACACCAGTCTACAATTACAACATGGTATGGGTGGTATAGATCTCCATGATCTGTTAAGATCCTATTATCCCTAATGGCAGAAGAAGTAGGAAATGGCAGAGGTTTCTTCTATGGTTTCTACTTCAGGTTGCCACAATCAACGCATTCATTGTGTACAAAAAACAATTCATTCAACGGCATCCTGGCCAAAAATCAAAGACACATTTGGACTTTCACCTTGAGCTAATGCAGCAGCTCATGGCTGGATCATCTGCAAGGCACCGAATTGTGACTGACAGCCCTGCAGCCACTGGCACTAACACAGCTGACCACACAAGGCATCAGCCAAGTAGATTGCATGGTAGGGGAAAAAAACATGGTATGAATGTTCAAGAGCTAAGCTAAAGAACCCTACAACAAATAAACCCATTGAAACGTCCATAGATTGAAGGGGCTAAAAAAGTATTTTACAACTTATACTCTTTTTATTTTCCACGACAGGTACTTTGAAGACAAAATATTCTTGTACCGGTACAAATAGTTATATAAATGAGTAAATTTTGAGAGCCATGCCACTACCTGAATTCGCTTTATTTATAACTTTATATTATAATTTGAACAGGCAACAGTCAACATGGGGTCTACTTCTACCCTTATATTACATTTACATATAAAGCACAGTCACAAATCAAGAGGCATAAACATATTAATAATAATATTAGAATAAATTTTAAAATAGGCCTATTTCTTATTATAGTTTATTAACCCTCTTGGGACATAAGGGCCGATCTATCAGCCCAAGGTGGACTAGCGAGAAAGACAAAAGTCAGAACCACCGACCCGATTAATTGAGCCTAATGATTGGTTAATGTTGTACCAGCAAGTCAAATTTATTCTTACGTATTCCTGCACATCCCATGATTGTAATAGCGGTGTTCGTTGATGGTGAACTAAATTTATTTGTGTGCAGGAATATGGGATAAGCACCCCAGATGAGTGCTTTATGCTAATTTTTACATAAAATATCATTCAAATGTTTGTGAGAGAGACTAATAATAACTACTAAGTATGCAGACAACTTTCTCAGTAACACCCAGCTCAAATAAACAATAATTGTGTGCACAATGGTGAAAAGGACTGCTCTGTCTGTAGCAACCGACAAGTATTCCGGGGGCAGGAAGAGGAGTAGAACTCTGTGCCAGGAATGTCAGAAGGGCCTCCATGGGCCTTATCTTCTCTTCTCTCTTCTTTATTTTGAGGGCCTATGATCAATGAATTGATCATTCTGGCTCCTATGTTTCAGAGGGGTTCACGATGTTGCTGTGCATGGTTTTCAAGGGGATACTTCTGCAAGGGCTACTCAGCAGTGGTGTTATGAACTGGGGGTTGGAAGACATGAGGCAACAGACACAAATGTGTCGAGTCAAGCCGCCTTAACTATTACTTTTGGAAGCTTGTTCCAGTCCCTTATTGTCTTTGGCAGGAATGAGGAGCTCCTGTACTGAGTTCTTGTTTTTATTAGCCGGAACTGCCTGTCGTGGCCTCGTCGTGGTCTAAGGGGAAGATGGACGAGTTTCTGTTTGATGTCAGAGCAGTGGACCAGCTCATTTTTTATCTTGTTTTGGCCTTACTTCCCAAAACACATGTGTTAGTATCTATTCATGCTTACTTCATCCATCAAAAAATTCACACAATTTACACTGTTAAGTCATGTTTATTCTCAGTTTAACAAAAAATCTCACACATAAATTATGCAAATCAGGATGTCTCTTTTGCATTAATGTTGAGATTTCAGTTTCAGTTAGATTTATTTTAAATATTGTATTAGCTGTAGCTTATTAATTAAATTTTCTACACTACAAGAATATAATTATGCCTCATATATTAGATACTTCGATGAAAGAAGGGAGACTACTATTTTTTTTGTATCGGAAATGGGCGTCGGCGCCGAAAAATCCGAGTTTTTAATTTTCCGATGTGTGTGTCTATTTATTATTAAATTAGTTCTTTCCACATATATTTGAGTTCCGTTTCCGGCCTTATAATTTGGAAGACATCTTGGCCTACATTTCTAGCCAGCTATTTTGCTTTTTTCAATCGACCTTTATTTTGAAAATCTTTGGTATATATAAGGCATCTTCGCATACAAAATTTTTTGTGAAATAATAAGATAAGGTCCTTTTTTATTAAATCTGTATGAGCATTAGATATTGATCTATATCTGTGCCAAGTTTCATTGATGTAGGTCGTGTCCCACGTTTGTTACACTTGTCACAGTGACCCATATCACCATAAGGTGGCTCAGCCTAATTTCGACATGGCTTGGGCCACGCCCCCTTTTTAATGGCGGAAGTTGCCGATACTTAGGAAATATTTAATTATTACCACTATATACATCAAAATATTTTATAATTTGTGTTTCAGAATGCATTTTGAAGACATTTAAACTGGAAATGTTTTAATTTGAGCTTTAAAAACCCTGCAGAGTCCATAATATAAATGATCAGAATTTTCCGTGTGCAACACGTTGTCATTGGCAACCATTCACAGCCACTTGCATAACGGCTACGTTGTAGTACTATCTCAGAGTTTCATTCATAAGAGTTTTCCGTGTGCAAAAGCTACTAAACCATTGGTAAGGGAAAGCTTTTATTAATTATTCATGTGCCAAAGTTGAAAGTTTAAAATAAGTCGACCCTAAACAGTATTTTAGTGATAAGGGAATGCATTGCCTTATATAAACTATATAGTCATTGCGCATGACGCGATCAGCGGAATGAGGTCACAGAATGTGGAGATGCAGTCTATGTTAAAAAAGGACAAACCAAGTCGTACTTTAAAAATTCATAACTTTAAAACTATAACAGCTAAAAATATGATTTTGGTGTTATAATTATGTTTAAAATTAGCTCTATTCAACTGTGCCATTGGTTTATTTTTAAAAATGTTTACATTTTTGACCAAAGTATCTAATATATAGTCTAGTTTTATATATGTAAAGTAAAGTTAATTTAATAGATTATTTTGTATAAACTTTTTTGCAATGCGAGTACCGATTCGTAAAAAGTGCTCCGTCTTTTTGGCACAGACACCCCGAAAAGGCTCCGTCCCGAAAGGAGTAAAATTACTAAGTTAAAAAAAATGCCGTCGCCGTCTGCAAGCAGTATCTTCCTTGCCGGTCAGATTTTTTACTTTAAAAATAATAAATATTAAAGGCTGCATAAATATTAATAATATGCAAAATCAGAAATCAATGTTGGCAATCAAATTACTGACACGTATAAAAGGGCTTACTAAAAATAAATTTGTATTTGTTGTAAATTTCAAACAAAGTTTATGCAATCGAGAAACTGATGAACTTGATGAAGTCAATGAAAGGCGCCATCTTGTTAACTAAAATTTACACAACAAATGAAAACTGACGAAACAAAATCGCAAATTAACCTTGGTTATCTTTCATAGAGTCATATAGTGTATGAGTAGGAATGATAACCATTGTTAATTTCTGATGATAGACTTTTCATTTAATTATGTACTCTATATAAGGGACTGGGTCTTTCCTGTCTCTTCCTGGTATCACTCAGTCTTTCCAATAAATAATTCCGAATTATGCGATGTAATGAAATAATAGGTAATGAAGCTATCCCCCCCCCCCCCCCCCCCAACTGTCACGGCCTGCTTCTTTGTATTTGTGGCATTAATTTGTGTGGACTATTGTAACAGTGTCAGACTGATGCTTGCCTTTTCCTGTGTGCCTTGGGCACGTTGTGCTTGTTGGATGGCACCCCCTTGTTCAAATTCCCAATCCTTGTGAGCATCCATTGAATGACTCGTCTCTGCCGTCGCGCGGCTTGTACCAAGAGCTTGTCAATGGCCAGTGAGAATGAAAAAGACAAAAACAAATAAGCGAGACTTTATTCATTCCCACTTCACTATTGTGGCAAAGGGAGTGGGGGGGGGGGGTGTCAATAAATGATTTCACCCTATTTTGGCAGATTTTACCCCACCTCCCCCATCATCCCAAAATCTAGACACCCTCTTAATACATAATGTTGAATTTTTTATTCATGCGATTCCTGGAAACTCTTTGGGATATGTTTTATTGCCTCAGAATGTCACACAAGAGCGTGTCAATGGCCAGTGAGAATGAAAAAGACAAAAACAAAAAAGGGAGACTTTATTCATTCCCACTTCACTATTGTGGCAAAGGGAGTGGGGGGGGGGGGGTGTCAATAAATGATTTCACCCTATTTTGGCAGATTTTACCCCACCTCCCCCATCATCGCAAAATCTAGACACCCTCATAATACATAATGTTGAATTGTTTAGTCATGCGATTTCTGGAAACTCTTTGGGATATGTTGTAGTGCCTCAGAATGTCACAGAGGCGTCTGTCTCTAAGTTGGGATATGTTGCAGTGCCTCAGAATGTCACAGAGGCGTCTGTCTCTAAGTTGGGATATGTTGTAGTGCCTCAGAATGTCACAGAGGCGTCTGTTTCTAAGTTGGGATATGTTGTAGTGCCTCAGAATGTCACAGAGGCGTCTGTCTCTAAGTTGGGATATGTTGCAGTGCCTCAGAATGTCACAGAGGCATCTGTCTCTAAGTTGGGATATGTTGTAGTGACTCAGAATGTCACAGAGGCGTCTGTCTCTAAGTTGGGATATGTTGTAGTGCCTCAGAATGTCACAGGGGCGTCTGTCTCTAAGTTGGGATATGTTGTAGTGCCTCAGAATGTCACAGGGGCGTCTGTCTCTAAGTTGGGATATGTTCTAGTGCCTCAGAATGTCACAGGGGCGCCTGACTCTAAGCTGTTGAAAGCCATCTTGAATACAAGGAAAAGCGATGCACACCATGAGTCTGCATTAGGATTTTTCATGACATGTCAGGGCCATCTTAGCAGCATCGAGGGCCCTGGACATAAGTAATGCTGTGAGGTGCCCCATTCCTCTCTAACATATTCAAGTAAGGTTAGGAAAAGCCTTTGGAGCCCAGTTCGGACCTGGCATTATTAAAAGTGTTTCCTTCAGACTATTTTTTGGTGGGGTGGGTGGGGTGGGTGGGTGGAGGAGACTGCTGCTTATATCCAGACTTTTAAATAAAATTAAATTGCCTCAAGATCTTTCAACATCCGTTAACAATATGGGTAACTTGAATCCCTTAGTCTAGAGTGGCGAGAACCTGGGAAACTGCCCAGGGTGCCCATGCCTTAAGACGGCACTGTGACAAATATGTGACCAATTCATTGTCAGTTGTTGCAAACATGAGTTTACTTTTTATGCTTAGCATAAAAGTAGTTTGAGTTTGACATTATTATTATTTGTTTATTTTTGCCCGACGAATAATAATTTTTTAGGAAAGTCAAGCATCAATGAAACATGCTGACTTCCTAAACAGAGCAATTTTTAAAAAATATAGTTACTTTGTATTACTATGTATTACTTCAGTTTGTGTGTTTAAATATGAGCATGCACAAAACAATGTTTCATTGAAAGGGGCCTAAAAGAATTCCATTATCAGTGCCAAAATGTTCTCTCGCCCACCCAGTAAAATAATTGATTCCCCCCCCCCCCGGTTGAATTTCTTTGAATGTATTTTAAAGCACCTGTATATAATATAAATCATTAATTTTTAACAGCACCCCGCTCGTTTAAAAATTGTTTCCCACATCTCCATCTCAATTTTAAAACATTTCCACACCAACATGATAAAATTCTTATAAAAATGCACATAAACAAGCTTTTCTGGGTATTTCCATCTGGTTAAGAGCCCCTGATATAAGTAAAATAATATTTTGACACTGTGACTTTTTAACAAAAATATTTTGCACAACAAACATGATTGTATATGTCAGAAACAGGAAGAACATTTATTGTATTATCAACAAATTATTTCTTAACAATTGGGTTTTCCAATAAATGTATTTTACAATAAAAATGTCCCAAATATCACTTAAAATTCACTAAATTTGCCTGCAACATTTGATACACACATTCCAGCAATCTTTAAACTTAAAAAACCTGATAAATTTACATACAAAATTGCCATTGTGCATATGTACTACACATTCAACTTTCCAAAATCATGTCCAAACTGCTGATGAACACATTCAGCCCTCAAGTGCCTATGTACATGACAAATGATATTTACATTACTTTGCAGTGAGTACAGGAACCATTTTCACTGAACTACTTGTCAAACCAAACACTCATTTATGCCAATACATATTCACATGTATCACTAAAGGTAAGGTTAGGAAAATGCTAATACATATTCACATGTAGCATTCTACCCATTCACTATGTCAAAACAAAGTTCTGGTCCTATACATAAAATTCGCACACAGTTAAGTGAAATGTGTTGTTAGAGAAAACAAAATGCGTTGTAATCAGAAATATGGACTTTTGGAAAAGGTGTTTTAAAAATATTTCAAATAAAATTTTTAGGCCTACTTTATTAAATAACAATACCCCCCATCCACAAAAAAAAACAACCTCCAATAACCGCATTGTTCAGAGTATATGTAAGTCTTTAAATAAGGAGTGCGCCCTAAAATCTGGATGTTGCAACAACAACATAATAATTTAAAATAATCCCATACTATAAAGATGCGGTTTATAATCAGTAGCGGCCTATGCTCAGAACATTATGGTATAAGCAGTGACCAAACCAGACAACAAAAATTGGAGGATGTGGAGGGGTGTGTCAAACAAAAAATATTAACAGAGGTTAGATGTATGTTTTAAAATATTCACACCCTCTACATCAGGCCTGCACAACTCCAAATGTAAGGTGGGCCGTAATACTTTATGAAAAACTTGTGCGGGCCGTAATACTTTATGAAAATCTTTTGCTGGCCGAAAGATGATGGACAAGGGGGGAAGCTATTAAGAAAATAATAATAATGCAAAATATTTCGTTACTTTGCCGGCCGGCAAGTGGGTGTTGACGGGCCATGTGCGGCCCGCGGGCCGTATGTTGTGCAGCCCAGCTCTATATAATCGAGAGGTGTTCCAAAACCCATATCAAGGCTTCCTGCCCAGGTACTGCCTGTATCCACTTCTGGATAGTATGGCTACATAAACAAAGTAGAAATCAAAGCGTAGCAACAGAAAACGGTAGCCACTCAACAAATAAATCAAGCAATAACTAGAATTGGTGATCTTAGAAGTGATAGCATTAAGCTTATTCAAAGATATCTAGATTTTTAAAATAAGATATACTGATTCACTGACCAACTTCTTTTGGTTATTTTAAATTAAGTCATTTAAATTCAGACAAATAATATTCAATTGTTGTCATTTTAAAACTTAGACATTAACAATGACTACGAATTATTTTGATCCAATAGCCAATTGGGTTATGTTGGAACTATGCAGGGATAAGATCTTAGAATTCTATGACATGAAATATCTCTCCATTAATTATTATGGTACCGGGTACTTTCCATTACCATAAGTGAGGAAAATATTTATTTTTTTTTTAAAAGGAGCAAAATTTTTTTTTTTACCCTAAGAAATCTGAATATAATTTAAGGCTTTCAGATTTATGTTGAATTCACCCCAATATTAGTAAAACTGATGCTATATCATTGATATATTGTTGATATTATTATCAAAATTAATAATTATTGGCTTAACTGTAAGTATGTCAGGACTTTAACACTAAGGGAGAACACTCAGTTAACTCTTCTGAAATGATTACCAGTATTTAATTTTGTATCCAAAATAAGAAATAATAACTTTTTTTAATATGTGTTCAAAACCAATTTTCTGAACAAATATTCTTAGAAAATTTCCTCATTTGATTTATACTTTCATGCACTTTGTTCAATCATTTTTTTTAAGAGGGTAAAGGACAAGTCTGTATAATAGCAGTGAAAATTGTCAAAGATATTCTAAGCACCATATTTGTTTTACTGTTGTTTCTCAGATTATTTGGTGATTTTTTTGTCTCTAGTGTACAATGTGGACTAGAGTAAAACCTTGTCAACTATTTTAACAACAGCAACAGACCTGTCAGCGGTACTGTAACAAATACTTCTCTGAGATTTACTAAAACTTGCCAATAACATTGAAGATTTATGTTCATTTTTTTATATATAACTATGCAACATTTCCAGAACTCTGATTATTAGCAGCGTAGTTAGCAGCAGACAGGAAGGCTAAGTGACCCTTGGGACATCTGTTTGCAAAATGACCCTTTTCTCCACACTGCAAGAGTAAAGAAGATGATTAAATGTAAAATGAGAGGTGTTATTTGTAAATACAAATATTTATAATTACAAATAGATGAACCAAATCTGTCAAAAAGTATGTTTGATATTAACTTTACTAAGCAATGCTAATGACAGTATTCTGGATCTGTCTCAATTTTCACTAAATATGAAATAAAGAATTTACATCAAAGTGTCATAGTAGAAGATAAAAATGGATTTATTGAGATTTTTATTTTTAATTAATTCTGGTTATATTATATAGTATTAAAAGAATAAACTATTAAATCAAGACATGGATGGTTAAATAAAATAAAAAAGGTATCTCAAATGTCTTCATCGAGGTATTTGTATTGTAAGTAGCAATAGGTATGTTTTAAAACAATAAACTTAATTAAACCTTGAACATGTAAAATATATTTTCATAGCTTCTACAAAAAACATGTTAAAAGCCAATAAATTAATAAAAATTAACTGTAAACTAGAGTGAACATAATTACTTTAAAGCATGTGATCTGATCTAATGGTCTTCGCTCTCTCTGCTGTGGCATCTGATTTGTCTGTTGGTGTTGATGCTGCTGCTGATGTTGAATGTGATTTTGTTGGGCTACCTGATACTGAAGTTGAACTGAGGGGTCATCCAGGGACTGGAAAATATTAGAGAAAAAACAAGTTACAATTTTGACACATTGTAACATTTTGGAGTGATTCAGTGCAGACCATGCGTACCTCAAGATATTATTATATTGAAAAATGCTCTCATAGTAGCATTTCATAATAAGGATAGAAGAGATTAATCTTTCAACAAATAAATGGAGACTGCAGTGGCTAATTCAATATCTTAAATCTATATCAACCAAATGTACCCTATACCTAAACTAGTAATTTCACACCTGTTCCTTGCCAGAGGGAATATAAATTAGAAAGGAAACTTGGTAGGCTAAAGACAATTTCAGCTTCTGAGGGGCTTGTTAGTTTTCAACAATAATTTATCTTATATTCCAAGCAGTGGTGGTCCTAAGAAAAGTTCTAGGTGGTGTGACATGTCCTAATTGTGTCATTGAAATGATTAAAAATGTTTGTTTTTCTTGATTTAGTCACTGCATCTGGGACCCTGTTCCGTCACACCCCCATAGGCCCACCACTGAATACAAATTGTCCTACCACTGACAACATACATATTTTTTAATAACTCCAATTTTAAACTTTTTGAGCATTAAAAGCAAGAGATTACAACTGAATTGTCATTGACACATTCTAACAATTACTAATGAAGTATATAACAGGTTTGACTGACCCCTGCTTGCTTGGCGGCATGACACTGGATGGCCTTGTGCCCTGGCTGCATACATAAGTGGCAAACAATGGATTGTTTCTTCTGGGCAAAGATTGGATCTGGGTCTGGTATCTTGAAGGAAGGACTAAATAAAAACAATATAAAAGCCTGATGACAGATAGTTTACAATTGTTATTATTTCTTACAAATATTATTTCTTACAAATGTTATTTCTTACAAATATTATTATTTCTTACAAATGTTATTATTTCTTACAAATATTATTATTTCTCTACAAATATTATTTCTTACAATAGTTATTATTTCTTACAAAAGTTATTATTTCTTAAATATTATTATTTCTTACAAATATTATTTCTTAAAAATGTTATTATTTCTTACAAATGTTATTATTTCTTACAATTGTTATTATTTCTTACAATTGTTATTATTTCTTACAAATGTTATTATTTCTTACAAATGTTATTATTTCTTACAATAGTTATTATTTCTTACAAAAGTTATTATTTCTTAAATATTATTATTTCTTACAAATATTATTTCTTAAAAATGTTATTATTTCTTAAAAATGTTATTATTTCTTACAATTGTTATTATTTCTTACAAATGTTATTATTTCTTACAAATGTTATTATTTCTTACAAATATTATTATTTCTTACAAATGTTATTATTTCTTACAAATGTTATTATTTCTTTCAAATTTTATTATTTCTTACAAATTTTATTATTTCCCCATGAAAAATGACATTAGTTTCAATCTGATGACAGAGCCATTATGAGCCATTTTGAGTCAGTGGCCCCTACCATAAGAAACGACAGCCCCGTTTTCAATACTCAAAAGGCTTATGAACCACTGTTACACTTTGATATATAATTTTTTTTTAAATATGGTAAGAATTCAGGCTCTGCATCCTCCTTTAAAAATCCACTTTGATGTTGGGACCACTCCTTTATATTTATCTAATATATATAAAATTATATATAGTACAGTTACACAACATAGGTATGAAAGACATTCCATATAGCTGTATTTGTGTCCGGTACTAAATAAAAAAAAAAATTAATTTTTTTTTTTCTCAAACTTTGTGCAGATTTCTAAATGCATGTATAAAATTATAAGATACAGGTAACAAAATTGTTCATATTTAAACTTACAAAAATACTTAAAGCTACTTTTGAAATAAAAGTTATGAAATGTTGCTTTTAAAAAAATCTGTGAGAATACCAAGTTGATAGAATTTGTTTGAAAAAACACTTACTGAACATATTTACAGTTGGGACCATCTAAACAGAAACCATTGAGATAGCACTGGCAAATAACTCTTCTCACATGACGGTTCTTACAATTTGGTCCTGAAGATACATTTTCACAACTTGTAAAAATTCAAAATGAAATCAACTTTTAAATTATCATCTTTAACATCACTTATTGCTCTACTAGAATTATATTATTAAAGATAAAGGGATTAAGTCCATATATGAAGTAAGTTTCCTCGATTCAAGACCCAGTCTAGCTTAATGTACTTTTGATGTAAACTATCTCACAAACATAATCAAAGGGGCATTCACTTTGTTTAGAAATTTACATTTTATTTATTTAAAAAGAAATTAGGCTTTCAATGTATCGAGCATGACCATGGTCAACTTCGCCCGCTGATACAATTGTATACCGATGCCCAAATATTGATTTTTAAAGTATGTTTCAACTTGCTAGTCTAGTGAACTTTGTATTAGCTTGGAAAGTCATTCTGAACTTTTAACACTCATAAATTTTTAATGAAATAACCTAAAAATGTTTTACTTGAGAGGGGCAGCAGTAAATTTTAGTTGAAGAATGTATGTGTTACTCTGCCATCTGGTACAGAAGACAGACATGTGTGGAAATTTGGAAGGGCAAAAAAAGGATGTAATGGCAGGTGTGGGTCAATTTCAGAAACAAGCAAAATAAATTGACCAAGTAAGTATAAAATTCTCAGCTTACCATGTCTACAGAATCCCCTGTCATACCATGGACAGTCTCTCACTTTGTTTTGTGGATCAATGTGAAGAAATGGGCACTCTTTATTGCTGCATTGACCTGAAATTATATTGTTGAATATATATGTGCTAAAGTGGTATTACTCAAATTACAGGTTTTTGAGAACCACAATTAAATTTTATAAGAATGAAAAAAATTATGACAGTTGAGATCCTTTTAAGACATTCAACCTTTAAATCCCAGAATTTCATAAATATTTTGTCTATGATTTCAATAATTGTTTAATTCTAAGGGTATCAAATATTTACTCCAAAACAAAATGTAGCTACTTTTTTTTTACTGACTTTATAGTAAAAATATACTAGAAAATGGTAACACCATATAAGGATACACCATAAAATAATACACTGTTTATGTGCAAGGTGATAAATATAAATTTTGGCAGTGGCAAAAAAGTTTCAAAATTATATATAAAAATATCAAAGAAAGATAGAAAAATATGGACAATTCAAAAACAAAACTTTTGAAACTTTTATATGGACCTTAGGGCATTCATATATCTAAATTTTAAAAAATTCCATAGGGTACTTACCAAATTTGGAAAAGAAGAAGCACTCTGGCATTTTTGACATATCAAATTCATGCAGAAATTCACAGTCATCTCCCTTTTTACAAAGCCCTCGCAGCCAGTGTTTACAAACAATACTTCGATCACCTTTAATGTGTCTAAATGGGCAAGCTGCCCCTTTGTTACATACTGAGGTCAGATAATATGTACATATAGCTGCGCCAGATTCTGAAAGTATCAAAATAAGTGTAAATACACAAATGTGACAAAAAAGTGATATTGAATCATGAGATAATAATGCTAATTTGTATTAGTTAAAACAAAAATATAAGCCATAGTGTAAAATGACATGTCAAATAAACATTTTATTTTTGTTTAAAAAAGTGCATTGCTCCATGGAATACACCTTTATATATTTTTCAGTTTCCTCTACATTCTTTTTTTTAAATTGGTTTTAAACATAGGCCAATATAACTATTAACGTACAATTACATTTTCTATTCATATCATATTTTAGTGTAGTAAATTAAATCTCATTTATTTAAATTTATTAGCTATGAAATGTTAATGTTTTTAATTATAAACTCATTAATACCTCTTCAGATGCTAATTTAAACACATGAATATGTAAGACACACAAAATACCAGGTGTTCTGACACTCACTTTTTAATATATAATTAATTAAGTGAATTTTAAAAAGGCTTAAAGAATTTAAAATAAACTTGGCCAAATAGTACTTATACTAATAGGTTATTGATTTGGCTGTAATCCAGTTGTTACATTTTCTTTATAATGAGCTATCCATTAATGATGTCATGCCCATACAATTTTTTATCACCTTCCCCCCCCCCCACCTTTTCGTAATCATCACAAATTAGTCACACAATTTGGACATAGACACCCTCATAATCATAATGCATAGTAGCACCAATTCATCATTTAAGAAGTACACCTTAACAAAAGAAGAGCTCTCCCCATGTTGAGGTCAGTGAATCGAATGTGAGGAAAATCCTGGCTAATACCCCAAGAAAGTCATGCTCACTCGACCCTCTTCCAACAAGGCTGTTGTATGAATGTCTGGATGAAATAGTCCCCATCATCATTCGTATCATAAGTAAGTCCTTGACAACTGGTATTGTTCCATCAACTTTTAAAGAGGCAATAGTAATGCCACTGTTAAAGAAAGCAAATCTTGACCCAAATGTGATGGAAAATTATCGCCCCATCTCAAATCTACCATTTATATCCAAAATCTTAGAAAAAGCCGTTCCCCGCTTACTACTGGATCACCTCATTCAATGTGACTTGTTTGAACCTCTCCAGTCAGCATACAAGGCGCATCACTCTACTGAGACAGCCCTGTTGCGCGTCACAAACGATCTTCTGTCGTCTTGTGATGAGGGCCAGGTATCCATTTTGTCTTTACTCGATTTATCGGCAGCTTTCGATACGCTTGACCACGACATACTGCTCCAGCGTCTGCAAAAAACGTTCGGTCTCACAGATACCGTCCTGAGATGGTTTCACTTGTATATGACAAATCGGGTCCAGTCAGTTATTTCAAACGGTCTGACCTCGAAGCAATCTATCAGTGAATTCGGAGTACCCCAGGGCTCGATCCTAGGCCCGATGCTTTTCACTATGTACGTTCAGCCACTGGGTGCAGTGATCAAGCAATTTGACATGCTGTATCACATGTTTATGGATGATACACAACTTCATCAATCCGTGATCCCCTCTCAGTTTCCTCAACTTCTTAGTATGACACAGAAGACAGTGGAGTCAGTTAAGCACTGGATGACCATAAACAAGCTCAAATTGAATGATGAAAAGACTGAGCTGATCCCCATTGCCACTGCTCAGAAACAAATATCTGTAAAAAACACAACATCACTTACTCTTCTCAGGTATGCAGATTGAGTTTGCTCATACAGTACGAGACCTGGGTGTATATTTAGACAGAACACTTACAATGGATAAATCATATTAATATGCTTTGCAAGGCAATTTTCCTAGAGCTGCGCAGGATTAGTCATATCAGACCTTTCTTAACGTTAGATGCATCAAAGAGGCTGATGTCTGCATTTGTGTTATCACGTATGGACTACTACAATGCTCTCATGGCGGGTCTCCCAGCAACGCTCCTGGATAAAAATCAAAGAGTACAAATGCTCTCATGGTGGGTCTCCCAGCTACGCTCCTGGATAAAAATCAAAGAGTACAGAATAATGTGGCTCGCATTGTTCTTCGCAAATGCAAATTCGACCATGCTAAAACACTTCTGAGAGAGCTGCACTGGCTGCCGGTCCGCGCTCGCATAGAGTACAAAATTGCAACTTTGTGCTACCGCTGCTTACATGACCTGGCGCCATCTTATCTCAAAGCACTCATGACGCCTTATGTACCCACTAGAGAGCTCCGCTCATCCGATAGTGGCAAAATATCGATACCGTGTGTTCGCCTTGAGACTTACGGAAAGCGCACTTTTGCATTTGCCGGCCCAACAATTTGGAACGCCCTTCCAGTCGCTCTCAGAAACAGCCAGACACTGGAGTCCTTTAAAACCGATTTAAAAACACATCTATTTCGCAAACACCTTCTGGGGTGATGCTATCTACCATCTTTTTCAGTTAATGTATATTGGCCTGTGTTGCTTATGGTTGAAACGGGATAAAGACTTTGACTTGGTATGCTCGTATGTAGTTTTATATTGTTGCGTCTGTTTTTTAAATGTGGTAAATTTCAGATTGTTTTTATTTATCTTTATAATATTGTTGACTTTGTACCGCGCTTCAAGCTTTTGGGGATGAAGCGTGTTTTTCAAATAAACTTTATTATTATTATTGTATGGACATGGAATATGTTATATTATAATTATATGATGACTAAAAATGTTCCTGACAAAAGTTGGTTGGAACTTCAGACTTTAAAAAAAAAATCTTGCTTTTTTTTTCTTTGTTTTTTTTGTTGCAAAGGATAAACTTCGAAAGACCAAACCCCCTGTAAATCTTAACTTCTCTTTCTTTCAACTTTTACTTTAATTTTAATGACTTTATTCATTATTCCTATTCCATAATTGACAAATTGATACAGTAAGTGTTAGGTAAATAAATAATTGTGCTAGGTAAACTAAAGCGTGAGAAAACCCAATCAAAGATAATATTTAGGCTATTGATAGTATGAATAGTAGTCCCACCAATAAAAATAAGTAATTATAAGGCAGGCTCGGTTGTCGAAAACAGGTATCTAGAAAATAGTAAATTTTAGACACTTTGCAAACAAAGTAAACACGTACTGTCCATTCCGGGAAAAGGTAACGACTGTGCTCCTTTTTGTAATTCTAGTGCTATTTCTATTTCGAACTTGATGCCGTCAACTGGTGCTACGATTTCCTGCATTTTGAATTATTGCTCTCTTATTTTTGTCAAATTATTTAACAGGCCAGCGAGTGAAATAAACAACAATATTTTCATAAGAGTAATCTTTTCTTGAACCAACTATGCCAAGTAGTCTAATGACATACTTTATTTTAAAAACAATCAGATATTTGTATCTTTTTTTTTTATTTATTTCAATTTACTTTTTCAACTGCTTGGCAATGAATAACATAAATTAAACAATTACATTTTATAATCATTATCTTTGATGTAAAAACCCCGTGAAATTCATGAAACTGTTTTGTCTGTATTTTAATTTAAGCTTCAATTTTCGTAAAAGTTTAGGCTAACAAATTTTTCTTCCGCTAAGAAAGCGAAAGTGGTTCTTCAATTCAATAAGATATATCTTATAATTATAAGTTTTTCTAAAGTGTTATACTGTTATCCCCATTCAAAAAAAAAAAAAAAAGAAAAACCGTGAAGTTTGTGCCCTTATTAAAAAGTTTAGGCTAACAAATTTTTCTTCCGCTAAGAAAGCGAAAGTGGTTTTTCAATTAAATAAGATATTTCTTATAATTATAAGTTTTTCTAAAGTGTTATACTGTTATCCCCATTCAAAAAAAAAAAAAAAACGAGATACCGTGAAGTTTGTGCCCTTATTTGAATATGATTACAATGTTGTGACGATGAATAACGAAATAGCTCTGCGCACAGGTAAAGGAGAATACATGCAGGGAGAAACAGTTTACGGGTGAGTAAAGTAAACACTGCCCATGTCCATGGTGATATTTCTAAGTTCGAAGAAAGCCACTGGATTTTCGGTGGCATAGAAAGAGAAAGTGGATGCTGTTTTCTTGTTGAAGTGCCAGACCGATGAGTGATCACTTTGCAGGAGTGCATAGAGTAGAGGAGTTGAGAGGTATATTCTACCAGGTTCACATTTTGTCTCAGACTCAGACTAATAATGGAATGAGCAACTTATGCAAAAAGAAATCAGATCATACTTGGAATCTATGAGTATGAGTTGAGCTTCCTTTGTGGTCCATCAACAGAACTTTTTTGATCCAAATGAAGCTGGTGTCTACACACAGAATGTAGAAAATGTGGATGCCCTGAAGCGCAAACTGAAAAGACAGTTTGCTACCAGCTGCGCTCTTTTCCCTTCTTATTTTTGTATAAGTTCATGTTCCACTCTCGTTTTCATGAAGCTTAAATTTTCAAGAAGTTTATTGTTACCTTGTGGGAGAATTAGCCTATTAAAAAACCTCAAACTCTCTTTGGCATATTATATTATTTTCATACATTATATTTTTTAAATTGTTACAGTTATAGTTTTAAAAAATTTGCTTTGATAAGAATATTTATGTTTGAAAAGAATTTTCATTTCTTTGGATCAATAAAATAATTTTATCTTTATCTTATCGAAAGTGAAGTGCTAGAACAACTACTTAGTCTATGAAATTAAAAATTTAACTGATTATTAGTAATTATTAATAAAATAATATTGGTAGGCTAAAACTTGTAATTTCAAAGTTAGTTCAAACTAAATTATTTGGCTTCATCCTCCTCCTCATGTCCCTTAGTCCTTGGACCGTTTGGGCGCCACAGATGACATGTGAACCATCCCACTCCATTCCTCTCTGGATCGCCCAGTGTTAGTCCTGTCCACTCTTTGATGTTATCCTCCCATCTTTTTCTTTGTCTTCCTCTTCTTCTCCCTCCTCTTGTGGTGCCCTGCAATATTTCTTTGGCAAGCCCTTATTACGTGGCCGTACCATTGTAGTTTGTATTTTGTCACAGTCACCAGTAGGTCATCGTACTCCCCAATTGTCTGACGAACCCTTTCTTTCATTGTATCATTGGAGTTATGGTCCCTATAGCAGATGCCAAAAAGGCTTCTGAAGCATCTAATCTCCATCGCCTTTATTTTCCTTTTAAGATCTGCTGTTGATGTCCAGGATTCGCAGGCTTACAGGAAAATGGAGAGGACTAATGAGCACATCAGCCTGATTTTGGTGCTGGGGGCTATATTTTTGTCATTCCATATTTTCTTGAGCTTCTTTAGTGCTATTGTAGTCTGCGCAATCCTGGACATCAGTTCGGGTTTGGAGCCTTCTTCTGAGACTATTGCTCCTAGGTATTTGAAGCGGCCGACAGTCTCTAATCTATCCTCCCCGACCTTAATTTCAGTGGTGGTGCCTGCGGTATTATTTGTCATCAGTTTTGTCTTTTCAGCACTGATTAGCCTTTCCGTAGGACGACGAGGTCTTATTGAGACGCTTTACCAGGTTGGCTAGCTCTTCTTCGTTCCCAGCCAGTCCGTCTATGTCATCCGCAAAGCGTAGGATGGTGATTGTTCTGCTACCAATGCTGACTGTCCCTTCATGCGCTTCCAGAGCATCTGACATAATTCTCTCTAGGAAGATGTTAAATAGGGTGGGGGAGAGCATGCAGCCTTGTCGTACTCCAACCGTGGTCTTGAACCATTCTCCGATGTTCTCCGACTGCACTCGTGGCCTTATAGAGGTTGCATATCATGCTGGTTAGGTTTGTGTTGATGTTGTAGTGCCTCATGGTGGCCCATAAAGCAGCATGCCAAACCCTGTCAAATGCTTTCTTGAAGTCAACAAAGATGTGGTATAGGTTTTGTTGGTGTTGAGCATATTTCTCACATAGTATTCGGAGGTTTAGAATCTGCTCAGTAGTGCCCCGTCCTTAAGTCAAGTTAAATAGTTAATACCAATAGTAGTTAGTACTAACTACACTACCATGACTAGGAGTAGTAGTACTAACTACACTACCATGACTAGGAGTAGTAGTAGTCGTATATAGTTTACTAGAAGGCCTCATTAGTTATATCTTTAACTTATAGCTACTCTTGTTTAATGAATTAGTAGTAGCATAACTATAAATAAAACTTGTCACTAAAATCCTAAAAACCTATATACTAAAGCATAAGCCTACTAAACTAAAAGTAAATGATTAAAAAATTATGTGTAGGTATAAACTGGGGGTGTGGAATTAGGGGTGACTATCACCAACCCTAGTGACGAATTTGGATACACTCTGCTGGGGAATGGGTTCCAAAATTTGGGATATTCAGTTCCGCCTGAAAATATTATTTTCAAAGAACCGGTTTTTCGCAAGTGAAAAAAGTGTATAAAAATATATATTCTTGTACAACAAAAATCGCAAATCTACTCAAATTTGGCCAACTTTAGCACCACCTTGCTCACTAACCACAAGAGATAAACGAAAATATTTTCTTAAAAACTAAATCACCTATCTTCCTATCTAAAAAAAAATCTTGAAATTGCTTATGCAGATTATTTTAAAACCATGCATCAGCATTCAGCATGATCTGATTTTATGGACCCTAATATCATGGTATAAATTCGGGTGAACACTATATATCAAATCACACTCAAAAAATTGCAATTATTTTTTCTTTCAGGGCTGTATATTTAAATATTTGTACACCAACAGAGGCCAATGGCATTCAAGTGTCTTTCAAAGGAATTGAGACATGTATGTATGTGTATTTTAAGGCAGAGTAACATGATAAAAAGAAAAACTTTTGATAAAAAAATGAAAAAAAGGATTTTTATTCTTCTTACAAATCTTATTTCTCATAACAAAGCACTCTTTATCAAGACTTTCTTTGATGTGTAAATGTCTTTATCACCATAGATGTTAATTCTTTACATACATATAATTCCTAAAATCTAGTCATTGCAAATTAACTTGTTTTGCTTGAATTAGTGCTATAAATTTATTTTGTTTTTACAAATATTAGGAAGATGTCATCATAAATGAATCTCAAGATAAACCTTTTGTGGCATAACCTATCTGTATTTTCTAGGCATTTACGAGTATGAGTACGATGGGAGAAAGACATTAAAGAATGAGACAATTCATATTAACTTTTCAAATGTCGATTTGTACTCACAGACAGGTAAGTCTCTCTAGGATATAATTTAATCCCCATTTAGTATTCAATGGATGCGAAAAATAAACATTTTCATTTTTTTTGGTTCATCTTTATTTACTAAAAAAAGAGAGGATTAAACATTTCATACTCTTGTTAGTAATGAAATGAACATATAACTTGTATTTGTTAAAATTTAGAAAATGTTTAATTCATATTTTGCAAATAACACTTTAAAAAAATATTAACTACTGATCCATTCGATTAAAAAAAAGCTTCTTTTTGTTTCTCTTAGAATTTTTTCAGTTTGGCTGTTATGTTTTCCCCTTCAAGTTTGACCTGCCTAAAACAATACCAGGTAAATTATTGACCTTGCTTTACACTTGTAATACACATTTACACATGATTGTTCAGATTTTATGTTGCAATGAAATAGTTTAAGAAATAATAAATGTGTCACTCCCGTTAGCTTTAGTAATGCTCCAGCCAGAAAATAAATGGACTATTTTAAAGCTATTCATTTACAAAAACAACCATATAAGCCGGCAGTGCTTTTAAAGACCTCTCAGCCATCTATTGTAGAAAAGCAAGTTTCTTAAAAATACTTAGAGCCTCTAAAACTATAACTTGACACTTCTTTAAAGCTAAAGCACACTAACTAGCTTTACCACAGGTTTACCACAGTACAATCCTCTTTGTATGTACAATATTTCACTTCACTAAGCATGATGTCGTTTTGCACATTTTCATTTTGAGCAGAAGTATTTAACAAAAGATCCACCCAAAAATTTTTAACTGATGGGAGGACTATTTTTTGAAAATTCTTAACTCTTTTTTTAAAAATCTTGATGTATGGAAGGTAAAATAATCTTACATAATTTCAGGTACATTCAAGTATAAAGGGGCAGCAAATGGATCCGCTTGGGATGTTGATGTGTCATACTTGCTTCAAGCACACGCAGTCAAAGTAGATGGAATACAGGTGTGAATATCTAACATTAACAAATTCTGAATACAAGGCTGTTAAAATTTTTGTTATCTGAAATTAAATGTTTGCTTTTAAATCTCATATATTAAATTGTTATCTAATCTGTGGAACAAAAAGAAGTGAGGATATTGTACAAATGTATCATCACATTTTTTTTTCAAATGGTTTAAAATGCATTTTAAAACTAGATGTTATGCCTCATAATTCTGATATTTTTAGACTATTGTTACTAAATTTGGATTTTAAAAATAAATATAATACCAGAAGCAACAATGTTTCTCTATTCAAGATGAACTTAATAAATATTTTCTGCCATGTGACTGATTATAAAATGTGTATATCTCAATATCTAAAAATGTAAATATAGCTGCAGTGATGTAAGGGCAGATGTAATATACAAATCAACATCAGCTTTCTTCAAGGCATTTTTCTATTCAAATATGGAGCCTGAGTATACATGAGATTTTACAGTGTATGAAAATATGTTGCCTGCAAAGGGAATGGTTATTTATCTTATTTTCTTTTGTTTTATTAAGGCATCACAGAAATTGATTGTTTACCAAGCTAAAGAAAGTGAATGCAAAGACAGTCATGTGGGATCAGCAAACGATGTCTCTTTCAAACCTTCACTGTTTTCCTTGACAGGCAACAGGATACACATAACCATCAAGTGAGACCTAAATACATCTTATCTTGAAAAGAGACTAGCATACACAAAGTAATAATGCCAACTCATACAATTTTTTTCATATTTCGTATCAAATATTAGTGATTTCCCATGTGTATGACTTGTTTGTGATTTCTTAAAAAACTTTTGACATAAGAACATATTCAGAATGCTTTTACCTATTACAGACTGCTGGAAAATTTTGTTGAAACAGGATCCAACATGCAGCTGCGTCTCATTGTAACCAATCAAAGCAAGGTTCATGTCTCTGGATTCACTATCAAGGTAACAAACTTTAAAAAAAAAAAAAAAAAATTCCAAACCTCATTTTATTCTTCTTGTTGTGAATTGATCCTCTGTATAGCATTATACCGTGGCTCAGTGGTTGTTAGCAGAATTAGAGTAAATTATTAAACCTTGGATTTAATTTATTAACATTTTAAAAAGGCTGCAAATATACATGGTCAACATTTACATGAATATTTTATTGGTTTCCGCCAGTTACTGCGTTACCTGAAGCTCTATATGCGAGGCATGGAGATGTCAGATCACGTCGTGCCTAAAAAAAGTGACAGCAAGGTACTGCAGAATATGGAGTTCAGTGAAAACAAGCTACACATAGCACCAGAGTTTGGGCCACATCAGGTCTATAGCATGACTGGCTCATTTGATGCTTTGATGGTGGGAAAGTAAGTGTGGCCAATCATGTCCTGACACAAGATATGGAGAAGTGTTTCCTACCATGCATTTTAAAAGTTTCATATCATTTGTCTTGATGGGCTTTTTCTTTATTTTTTATGTGTGTGTGCTTCTTTCAGCTGTAATGATTTGGATAGCAAGCATTTGAATGAATTACTTTGGGGAACATTTAATGACCCAAGCATGAAAGGCTTTATTTTCTATGTCTCTAATAAAGAAACAGTTTTGCTCAGGTGTATTTGGTAACAGCTGCTTTGATTTATGCTGCAATTATTTTTTTTTTAATCCTTAAAGGGAACAAAGTACTTCTTTAATAGAAAAAATAATAATTTAATATTCCCCCCCGCCCCCACACTTTTTTTTTTCTGATCAATTTTTAAAAAAAAAAATAGATCCATAATTAAGTCGTTTCCAACTTCTGTGTAATTTGCTTTATTTTCAACTTATTTGTATTTGAGTTGCAGTTCGGGGTTAGACCGGCTGCAGATTCCGTTACAAGAGAACCTGGATGACATACCTCCCACTGTTGAAGGGAAACATGTCAAGGTATGTGACGGCCAGTTTGTCTCTTGTGTAAATTTTAAAAAATAATTGTCCTCGCACTTTTTCTTTGGTCTACGTAGTCAATAAGTCGGATTGTTCATTTTCAGCCACAATTCATCTATAAGCCTTTGTAAGTAATTTTGAAAGCATATGTTAATGTTTTTTTTAAATGTTTTTATTTATTCAATAGTTTAATTTAATTAAAATTATTTCATGCAAAACCATGCTTACAAAATAATATATAGTCAAGTAATTTTTATATGCTTTTTTGAAAAATGAAAAAATTAAAATAAAGTAAGAAATATTAATTCAAAAACCTTGTTGAATTCAAACTTATATTGCATCCAGAATCAATACGGAGTTGAAGTGATTGTGAGGTTTAACAACGGTCATACAGAAACTGTGAACTTGAAAATACCTGGAGTGCTACCACGGAAAAATTTAGAAGTAATTGAATCTTCAACGTTTATCTTATGTTCATAAATTGTCTGTCTTTCATGAAAAAAACATTTGTATTCCATTAATGAAATAATTTAACTACAGTTTCCAAATTTTGAACAACTGTCTGATTAGTGAATCAAATTTATTTATTGAGTAATAGAAGTAGATATTGAATTACAAATTGTATAATCTTTTTTCAAAATGTTCAACAGTTTTAAAAAGCAAGGATGGAGTTTTCCAAACTAAAAATGTTCCTAAAGCTACATTTGTTTGTTTTTATGTTTCCCACAGTGGGGCAGATGGACGCCACCCGACTGGACCTTTAGAGCTGAAACAAAACTTTCAACCTCCTTGTTTTCTGTTTCAGAGCTGTTGTTACGTAAGTTGCTGCAAACTTTTTTTTTTGCCGTTTACTAATTCTTGACCACTTTAATCTCATGTTCAGAATTATTGGTAGTTGTATAGTGATGAACCAAACCCTAAATTTTTTTAATTAATCCTTATGATATTCCTTTGATTCGTCTTTCTAGTTGATTAACTTACCCGCTATTGAGGAATTAGAGTTTTAGTCGAAGAAAATGTAGAAAATCTTTTGTTACGTAAGTCACTGCAAACTTTTGTTTTTGACATTCAATAATTCTTGACAAATGTTTCTCCTATAACACTTGTTTAGAGCTTAACCACAGCCTAAAATGATCAAATTGATCCTTATTAAAATCCTTGGCATCATATTTCTAGTTTTTTTTATTTACCATGTTTTTGGGAATTTGTGTTTTGGTCAAAGAAAAAAAAACAACATAAAATAAATCCCAAAGTCCATAATGGCTTAAAAGCAAAGAAAAAAACATATCTCCACAGGTATATTGGTTAGGACGAATGTACAATTTATTTATTTATTTATTTAGGCATTTTTATATAGCGCTTATCATAAAGCTCTAAGCGCTTTACAATTATTAAAACATGTAAACTAAGTAAATACAAATGAGACACTAGGATAGTAACTACTATTCTATAGAAACAATGAAAATGGCTATAAAAAGAGGACACTTTGACACTTCAGGATTAAACCGAAACAGAAAATTAGGTAGGGCAAGGAGGGTGCATCACAGGTCATAGGCGGACCTAAACAGATGAGTTTTAAGGGACTTTTTGAAACTGGACGAGGTTTCACTATGACGTATATGGAAGGGGAGCTGGTTCCAGAACGTGGGCCCATGGAAGCAGAAGGAGCGTTCACCGATGGTCTTAGTTTTAGTTCTTGGGATTGAGAGGGTTCTACTGTCAATGGAAGAACGTAGTTGTCTTGTGGGGATGTAAGGAAGCAACAGTTCAGAGAGATAGACAGGAAAGTGAGGGTCAGTGAACGAGTTGAAGCAAAGATTGGAAGACTTGTATTTGATGCGAGAGGATATTGGAAGCCAGTGGAGTTGCCGCATGTGTGGTTGAATGTGGTCATGTTTCTTTAATTTAAAAATGAGTCTGCATGCTGAGTTCTGTGCCTTCTGAAGTTTTTCTATGTGGTGTTGAGGAATGCCTGAGAGAAGAATGTTACAGTAGTCAAATTTTGAAAGAATGAGTGAAGAGACGAGAGTTTTTGTGGCATCAAAGGAGAGGAGGTGTCTAATGGTGCTGATTTTTCTAATTTCGTTATATGCTGATCTGCATATATTCGTGACATGTTTGTCCATGGAGAGGGTGTCCGTAAGCGTGACTCCAAGGTTTCTGGCAGAGGGAGAGAGTGTGATGTCAGAGTTGCCAATAGATATAGAAGAAGGAGCGAATGGAGGGAGAGGTTTGTTTTGAGAGTGGATGAGAAGGATTTCCATTTTTGTGTGTTCTTTTTTTTTCCTTCAATTAAGACAGAATGGCTTTCATAATTCTTGTATATTTGTCAACCCCCCCCCCCCACTTACCCTTAATATACTACCATTCTCAGGATCTCATTATCACATCATTCTGTTCAGATCAAATATTATACATAAGGTTGAACCATTATATATATCAAAGAATAATTGCTAATTGAAATGAGACAAATTTAATAATTTTTAGTGTAGAAATAAGGAAGTAACTTGTTTTAGTATTTCATGCACAATAATGTATAAAATCTAAATTATACCATAAATGAAGTAAATGTTCTTAAGTGATTGAAAATGGGGGAATTTTATGTTAATTTTAGGCTCACCAGTTTTTTTGTCACCTAAATTTCCAAAATCTTTGGCCCTATACTTTCTTAATAAAACTTCTTACACCTTGTAGTTGTTTTTTAAATAATTTGAATTTAGACAGCAATTAATTTTAAGTGCTTACATGTATTATGCAGTAGAAATTAACATAACTATGATATAAATTACAGCATTTGTTGAACAATTCATTGGGTAAATTAAACTTTAATAATGTTTGTTTTAGGCACTGAAGCATTCTCTGGTTTACCGGCATTCCAAGTACTTTAATGTGATGCTATACAACACAAGTTCGCAACATATCCAGTAAAACAATGTCCTTCATGAAATTCTATGCAAGCAAAGGAAGTAAACAATGTTTTAAATAATTTTTATTTAAACGTTTTAAGGTATTTTTTTTTTAAAGTTTTGAATTGTACATTTAAAACAAAAGATTTTTACAAAGAATATAGATAACTAACACAATGAGAGTTTTTGTTGGTGTAAAAGTTAAATAAGATTTGATATGTTACTACATTTTTAACCTGTACAAATTGTTTTACTTTATGAATGGTTTTTGTTGATTTGTTAGAATTTTGCAACAGAGCATTTGACACATTCCTTAAAATCACAATAATTCCACTTCTTTTTTTTCTCTACATTTTGCAAATATTTAAATTTATTACTAACTGGGTGACAATTTAAGCCCCTGGTCCCCAACCCATGTGTTACCACCCCAAATTGGAGCGCAGAGATTTTTTTGCTGAGAAATCACTGGGTGACACTGTAAATTATACAAAAATATGACCAACATTGCATATTTTTTTTCAGCTATGTTTTATGATAATTTATTTGTTTCAATGTATCAAGGTCAGGGATCACTTTGCTTCTATAAAATCTGATCATGTGTCACCTGGGTTCTATTGTATGGGGTTGTAAATCAAGAAAGATTCAGAACATCTGATCTAAATCTAAGCATAGAAGAAAGTTACTAATTCTCTTTTGAAAGTCAAATTTATTCAACCGAAATTCAACCTGCACAAGCTCACATTCCCTTTATTTACTACCGGCATTGTACATTTACATTAATTATTAATTGGCTGTGACAATTATTATTTTTTAAACTCTTCCTGTCTTAGAATATTCATTATATTCCACAGTGGGTGACAATCACAGAGAACAAACTTTTGTTTTGTAATTGCTCCTTTTTATAAATTTTAATACTTGTGCTATTCCTCTTGTAATGTACCAGTATTGGAAACACTGGTTTTCATTTTTAACTTAAGATATCCAACAATTATGTATTAGCACATGAAAAATTATTACAGTTTGAGTTGATGTAAGATAATCCTTTTATTTTTCTCATGAGGATTGATATAGATTTAAAGAAAATCTTAGTAACACTGTCTTAAAAATGGGAAATATATTTTGACAAAATAAGTTTAAAAATTGATTTTTTAAAATTTGCCACAAATGAAATCCAACTCTCTGCCATTTGACCTACTGAAAATCAAAAGCATTTTTTTTCTGGTCGTGTCTATGAATATTTTTATAATTATTTATATTGAAAATTAGCAAATAGAAATTTGAAAAAGGAAGAGCATTGTATAAAAAATTATTACTAATATGTTGCCAAAAGCTTTTTTAGCAGGCAAACGGTCGGTACTCAACTGGAATGACATAAAAAATTGTATTACAAATTATAATTCTCTAGGTATGTAAGTGTGTATGGCTAAAACGCTGTGTACATTAGATGCTCAAAATAAAATTCCCAGAAGTTAGCACCAATTGGAAATCTTATCAAGTCCTTACTTGAAGTATGTTTGGTCAAGTAACTTTAGTTGATGGGAAGTTCAGCATTGCGGGCCCCATTGTTTGGCCATTTTTGTCTAGTTTATACCCAGTTCTCTTTTTCTTTATATTTCTAGCTTTCTTGCAGTCCACTTTGTAACATAAAGGAAAAACAAGTGTCATTATTGTGTGAAGTGGACTTAAAATAATTCAATTTACATTAGTTGTGCTTGTTGAGACTGATTTCTTTTTGACACATTCTCTCTGTCTTTATGTGAACACCTTATCCAAGTCATCTCGTATATCCAACAACTTTCTTCTAACTGCTACGATACTACAATTATGAATGTAACATTTGCACAGAAGTTTATAAACACTAACACTCAAGGCCAAGGCTCAGTAGCTATTTTAATATAGCAAAGCACAGTATGTATAAATGATCAAAACAATGAACAATAGCTTTTTTTATGTTAAAACTATTATTTGTCATTGATAACTTTTTTTTTTTATATATATATAGGGATGATACTGAAATTTCTTATTTGCAATAAAATGGATGTTTATCAGTGTTAAAATCTATTTCCAGACAATCAACCACAGAGCAATGAAATGATGGCTATTGCATATTCTGAACATTTTGTTTTTCAAATTATGTTTTAGAGAAAGTATACATTTTTGTAAATAAGCCAACATAAATGATTAACTAGAACTAGAATAGGGTTAATGTGTAGTTGTTTCCCTTTATTCTTATCACCGCATGTGGTCCTACAATTCAGTTAAATATTATTGTAGCTTAATTTGATTTCTGCATAAACCTGAAGTAAGGAGTGGTTTTGGTTGTGGGGTAGAAATACTCCCCTGCAAAGCAATGAACTATATGTGATTCCCAGGTGAAGCAACCTTTTTTTTTTTTTTTAAATGGTTTTGGTATTTCTTTCTTTAACATTAAAAAAACAAAAACATTGCCACTTTAAATTAAATGGTTTAAAAGTGTCATATTTTAAGGAAAATAACAGATTTTTTTTTCATAATTGTCATTTTGACAGGTCATTTCTAGAGAACTAATTATTTATAAAGCACTAAAAAATAGTAATGGTATACATCTGTACAATTTTATACTACCTTCCACACACTATTTTTTAAAATACATTTATTTTATGAAATAATTCATTAAAATATTTATTTTTTATGGTGTGTTACTTTTCATTTTAATTTCCTAATTGTATAAATTTGTTTTTCACTTAAATTAAGTACTGTGTTTTCGTGTTGAAGTTGTTCAGTATATATTTCACATGATGTATTCCAAATCTGATGGCATTCTTGAAGGCAACATAATTAATATGCTTGGATTATGATTTAAGAATCACTACATTCAATAGCGGGGGAGGGGTTTCACAGATGCAAGCTGGAAACAATTAAACCATAATTGTTCTAAACTGTTATAAATGACATAACATCCTTGAAATGGGTTAAGGAAATGTTAAACATTGAGATATGCTGAGGCAAACTAATATTTGTTATTGGTCTAAGATTGAAATCATCATAGTGAGATCAAAGGTGCAGCTTCTATCCACTGTTAAATCTATACTGAGGAATCTAATACCACAAAAACATCAACGCAAACATTATAGCATATAATTTTATCACCTTTTTATTTCACAGTTTTTTTAAAATTGCGACATTCAAGTTCAAACATGAAAATAAAATTCCTAGACTTTGAGGAACACAAACCTCTGTAAAATTCATTAAGGTCTTTGCACACCCAAAGTGACAGTTAAAGTTTTGTTTTAGGCAAACTGATTTGAATCAAACAATATTTTGGTTTTCACCAAGGCTGACTGTTATCTTACTTTCACAATCATAAAGGCCAACAGGTGGCATAATCAAACTAGATAAAGTAAAATTACAACATAATATAAAGCCACAGCTAACTTTATGTTTAACAATGCAGTTAACAAAATGCTAAAAGGAGAAAAAAAAAACAATAAACATCCTTAAGAATAACACTGACCCGCCTGGTCACCTGCAGCAGGCCGATGCAGGCTTTACTTATAGGTAAAACATATGTAGGTATTAGAAGCTGCATAGCAACCCCGATAAAAAAAAAACAGACATAAATGAAGCGATTTTAAAATTAATATTAGAGATAATTTATGCTCACAAAAAATGTATGTGCGGTAGCTAGGGCACAGATGTACAAGAACCTCACTATTTAAATGTGTAGTCTATTTTTCTTAAATTTTGCAATTACATTGCAGGAGATCAGACAAAAATGAAGAAAAAAACAAATTCGTCTAAAATTACCACCATTCATATTTAAACCTATTTAACATTAGATTATATTTCATAAAAAGTAAAACAACAAATTGATAATTGACTCAAAACATATCAATATGTTTGGAAGGGTTTGTTTGCGTAATGACACGTGGAGCACATGTCTAATTTATAAACATGCATACTTGTGGTACAACATGAACTTCGTGTAAAGAAATTTCTTAACAACTAACATTAAGGTCAAGACTTGCCCTTTGTCTTTGCTGCTACGTCCTTGGCTGCTTCCTTAGCTGTCGAAAGACACATACATATATTATTAGATAAGATTTTTTTGTATTAATTCAAATAAATGGAAATGGCCTTTTTTTTATTTTTTTTTTTTTACCATGTACATATTCATTTTTAGCACTTTGATAAACATTCTTACAAAGACAAACCTTTTTAACCCAGAACAATTTAAACACAAGTCATCTGATGTATTTTCTCAAGCACTTTTTTTTTCTTTTTGCATTATTTCTTTTTGCATTATTCAACTGTAAGAGAGAATTGCTGTGTGGAAATGCATGTAGTTTTTCTTCAAAAAATAAAAATGTTTCTCTCAAAATAATTTATTGCAAGTGATCAGAACTGCCTAGTTAATTCATTTGTATCCGTTCTTTGTTTATCTCTGAAGATGAAAGCTTTCTGCTGAAACGTATTTGACCCAAAAGCTTCATATGCTAGTATTTAATTATCTATTTTAAGCTTCACTGCAGTCCCAACAACTACGGTATCCACCTTTTATTTTGAATTTGTTTAATTACAAAGATTTTGTATATATTATTGTAATACATTACGAGGTAAAGAAACTAAAACACCATAATATACTTACTTTTTTTCTCTTCTTCCTTCTTTTTGGCTGCTTCTTCTCGCTGTTTACGAATAATTGCTAATCTGGCTAAATCTGCCTGGGCCTCCTCTGTTTTTCCAGCAAGATGGAGTGCTTGATAGCGTCGACGAGCTTCAATTTTCTCCAATTCTTCCCTAAAGTTAAAAGAAACTTTGGGTTAGTTGCAATTTTGTTTAAACTTAAACTTACATTTGGTCTTTTTGCTTGTGCAATTTCCTAACATGTTAAGTACCAAAAAAAAAAGAAATAATTTATGTCAGTTGTTGGTTTTGCCATATAGGGGAGAGTGAAGAAAGAATAATTTTTTTTATTTTTAACAAACTTTAATGAATTAAGTTTAGTATTAATGGCAAATGAATACACTATTTTATTAAGCACTGTAACATATAAATCTTTATGTTTGCCAAATATGAGTTGAAATCATGATTTATTGCATTTTTAAGAGAGCTAAAATTGTGTAACTTTTCCATAACGCACCATATGATCAATGGTAATAAATTATACCAACTTGTTCTCTGGTACATTAGTGCATCGAATAATAAATTTTAAAAAGTCCATTCCAATTTAATACTAGTTATGATTTTTTTTCTTCATTTTATCACTATTTTTTCACAAAACATTTGTTATTTTAGTTTAAAAATCTATCACTATGTTATACATGGGTATTTTGAAATAATAAATTTCATGGGATTGAATGGTGCTTATAAATATATTTTAGTTATTTCTGTTGCCCAAAGATGTGACAAACTTCTCCCCGCCCACAGAGGATAAATTCCCAAGGTAGATCATGAGGTAAATATTTTAAAAGTGTTTTCAAAGACGAACAATACAATAAACACTAAAACTTAACCAAGTATTATTATAGTAATAAAAATCACCTTTCCCTCCTTGACAGGTTACTGCCTCCCGTTTCACCAATCTCTGTAACTTTTTTAGAAGTTTTCCCAGCAGCTCTATTGGGATTTTCAATATCTATCAAATGTGAAACACCCTTGGGTTTTTCCTGGGAAAACAATGTGTAGTGTAATCATATCTGACTCATTTACAAAAAAAATTAAAATACAGTAAACAAAGAATATCTAAACAAAGAGGGTGTTATTGTAACAAATTACATATAATTAAGAAACATCAAGACTGTACATGTGTTCTTTCAATTTTTGGTGTGAGATGAAGTTAACAAAGATTTGACAATTTGGAAGGAATTCAAAGGGCTTGGATGACCATCATTGCAAGGAAATTTCCAAATGTTAATATGTATTAACTCTTTACGGGGCAGAGCGGCCAAAAAAGTCTTTACCACTTAAAGGGCAAAACGCCCAAAAGCGTCCGTAACGACATAGTGTTGTTTTCTCGTGACCTCCGAGGCTTTGCGAGACTTCCTATTGTTTACATCCGGTTTTTCCGATAGCTAAATAGAGTAGGCGCCAGTTACAAGTATTTAATCGATTTTGTTTTAAAAGTTTTAGTGGTTTAAAAAATTTTTTTTCCGAAACGGATTTTGCCGATTATTTGCCTATTATTCAAGTGATAGCGAGATGTCGCTGGATTCAATTTAAGTGCATGAATTGACTTTAAATTGGAACTAGATATTAATATTATTAGTAATATTAGTGAAATCAGCGTAGTAAGCAGTGTTTAATTTTACAAACTTTGATTTTGTAGCAGTGTTTGTCTATAGTGAATAGATTACTCACAATCACAAACAATATGTTGTTTTTTTGCAAATATTTGTGTTCATATGAGGATTAATGGCAACATGTGAGTACAATAATAAATCTGCATTCATTTTTCTTTATTTTGCTTTTTATTTCACACAAATTTGTTGACTAACACCTAAGATTTGATTTTTTTTGTAACGTAACCCTAAATCTTACTAAAAAACAGAAAAGTGGTGCCCGTTCAGGACATTGTAGAGGAAGACTGATTAAGAAATGACAGATCAGACAGAAGTGTACACACGCAAAAAAAAAAAAAACAGCAAAAAAAATGGCAACATCGTTAGGAGTTGTATTAGAATTAGAATTTTAAAGACTTTTCATTTGTCATCTGAACAATGCACCTCTCTGTGATTCTGAAGGGGTCATAATTTATGTTCCAAGTTACATTTTGAGTTTGATTCTCAGACTCCAATTTTCATGAAATTCAAATTTCAACACATTACCTCTTCCCCTTCACTATCTGTCTCTGACTCAGATGATTCTGTTGGAGGCAAATCCTTATTTTTAGCACCTCCCTCAGCCGCGGTTTCATCTTTTTCCACTGCAGGTTCTTCTTCTTCATCACTCTCAATACCCTGCTGACGCTGTTAAAACAAACAAATGTTTATTCTTTATATTTGTTCAGTTACACAACAAAGATAAATCATAAAAAGCCATTCATTTAGAAAAAAAACCTCTTGGTTATTTTAGCTGCACTATCTCTTTATTAACACTGCAGATGATGTATACATTTGAAGCTGGCTTAATAAACTCATTTAATTCCAAAGACCACAAATTATTAAATTCAAAGTAGAGAAATTCTATTTATAATGAAAAAATTACTCAAGTGCTGTTAATTAACCCCTTTGTAACAATTGTGTCACATGATTTAAGTCTTTTTTTTTTACCAGTTTGACACCTATCACAATTTTTTTAAGCCCAGATAACGAAGACAACTGATTTTTAGCACATGCTAAACTGGCCACTGCTTTCCGATACGGTAGTTTAGGGCTTTTTACTTAGAGTTTACCCCCTCCAAAGAATGGCTGCCATGCTGGGCTGATACATCCATAAAATGCTAGTGAATACAATGATACCTACAAGCCCGATTAACAATCAAGTTAATAAAAAAATATCATAAATTAACATGAGATGGAAAATTAGCAAATAATTCCATTTTAGAAATGATGCAAAAAACTAACATTAAGGAATCTGATTATTTTATTAATGTATTTACCCTCCAAGCCCTCTCCTTTTCTGCCTTCTGTGCTTGTTCTCTCAATTCATCCTCATCTGTAAAATGTCTACGCTGACCTTTGTGACTTTTCTTACCTCCTCTTCCACCTGCACCACCTCCTAATTAAAAAAGGGGAAAATAATTATTACAATTTTTAAAGATTAGACTCCATAATCTGGACTAATATGGTTTGACCTTGTTGTGATTGTTCATCAACATACATATTATCTTATCTGGATTTTCTGGTATCTCCAATTCAGTAAATTAAGTATAAATATATCAAATATAGCTTATAATAACTAAGTTATTATAAAACTATAAATATAAGAGAAAAAAAACATTTGTAAAAACCTACAAAATATTCCTACATTGAATTTAAATCATATAAAGTATGATACATGTAATTAATTGTGGCAAAAATCTTTGATTGTTTTTAACAAGATCCTTACTGTACCTACAAATTACTTAAGCTGACCTTTTGAAACATTACTTACCTCCTCTGCCACCTGGACCACCTCCTGAAGAAATTAAAAAAAGATTAGACCTACTTTATATAATAAAAAATGGGAGCCTAAAAATGTAAGAACTAACAGTGCAAGATTCTACTTTACTTTCCGTAATTCAATGATAAATGCCACCATTTTATTAAATTTTAAAAATTTGTTTCAACGGGTTAATTGTCAAATGATAATAGTAATAGGACTGGTGTCTGGGTGTAGGCTATTCTTGTAGCCATGTAATGTAGGCTTGGCTCTTTGACTAATGACTAAATCTTTCATGTCAATGTAGGCTATTTGATTTTGGCTTAACTCTATTTCATTTGATTATCTAATATTAGGTATTAGGCCTTTAGTTTTAATTTTAGTGTCATAAATTAATGGTATTTAACAATTAACATTACATGTGATCACATTTTAGCAAATTATTTTATTTACTTAACTTGTTTACTCCCCTTTAAGTCTTTAAGGAATAACTAAATATACAAATGTTGCTGTAGGCAGTGTAGGCGTAGGAGACAAAGTAGGCTGAATTTTTAATTTCGTAGCTCTAGTAAAATTTTAATCATATTATATTACTATTATATTAGTATTATTATTATTAGACTATTACAAGTAAATGTTTGTTCTTAATCTTTAGCTTTAGTTAGGAATGTAAGTGAAAGTATTCAAATAATAAAATTCCTATAAATAAATGAAATTAGCTTTAGGAATGAAAGTATTTGAATAATAAAATTCCTTTAAATAAATGAAATCAGCTGATTCTTGTTTATAAAAATTAATTTAAATAGGCCTTGGCCTAACAAAATCAGTTACTAACACTAACACTAACTCTAACTTGCCACTAACCAAATTTAAGCAGCTGTTTTTTTTGTCATTTGCATATTGAATTTACAACGCTAAAATTAAATTTTACCAATAATTTAGAAGCACATTAACAGACTGATTAGTGGTAATATAATATTAGTCACTTTTAAATATGGAGATGGTAGTCACTACCATAGTGTCACCGAAGAGTCTGGAGTAAATTTTGACAATATTTGCCACGTAATCGAAAACAGGTTACTTTTCATTTGAACTAACCTAAAATTTTCATGTGTAATGTTAATAGAATATAAATCATTCATTTTCTTCAAATTTTAATTTGGCAATATTGACAAAGTTACCTCTGGGCATACTGGCTTCCTCGTTTCAAAAAAAAAAATTTAGGAGGAAGATGAAGATGATTAAACTTTGTTAACGTGCCTTTCTTGTGAGCTATTTCCGTATCGGATTTGATAATCATGAATTTTCGTATCGATAATTTTCGATACCATTTAAAAGATCTCTTAGTGGGAGGGATCTCAGGGCAGAACTAACCCTAACTACGTCACTGATGAATTGTATTTATTACTGAGTTGAATAATTTGATAATTTTTCCAAGCCCAAAACTTATTTTAATGTTTTATTAGCACAACCCTCTGTCGAACAAAATGACTTTAATATTGGGGTTCAGGGCCAAGCGAAAGCGGAGGGGAGTACTATCCGCGGACGCAAACGCAAGGGGTGCCAAAATCTTAATTACATAGGAAATTTAATGTGAATTAAACGATAAAATTCCATGCTGGTCAGAAACACAATTTTTTTTCTTTATATTAGCGGGCATCATTTTCAGGCTTCCGCCCGGCCACCTCTTTTCCTCGACATGGCTCTATTTGAGTATGACGATCAGGGCTGGATTAATCTGAAGGCATATGCGTCAAATACCTTGGAGCCCCGAAGCTTTTAGTGGCCCCTTTTTTAGGTGTTGGGGACTTGATTTTAATCTAGAACATACTTTTAATGACTTGTGCTGATTGGCATCTCCATATATTCATGTATCACACGTTATGGTATTGTGATGAGAAAGGGTAAACGAAATGACACAATTCGTAAAATTTTCTTCAGACGGTACTCGTCAAACGGATAGTTTTGAGAGACTTTCGTATTTTGATGATAGCAGGAATGAATAGAATTTGTTCAAAAGTAATTGTCAGTCAATTGGATAAGCGAACAAGCTACAAAAACTGTACAACAAATAGACCCGGCCCCCCCCCCCAACCACCAGAAAAAAGTATCCATATCCTTCTCTTTGAGAGAGGGAGAGATCAGTGGCGTAGCCTGGCTGCGTCACTGGGGCAATGGGCAAAACTTAGAATGCCTAGGGGCCTCAAAGGATCTCAATCCGACACCGATGATGACCTCCGCGACTACAGACCAGTAGCGATGCTCCCCCCCCCCCTTGCAGTGGTGAACCTGGGATAGTAGGGAGTGGTTGCCCGGGTGGAATTGAAAAGCGGGGGGGGGGGGGGGTCAAAAAGGGAATCCAAATGAAAAAAAAAATGCAGTGGTGAACCTGGGATAGTAGGGAGTGGTTGCCCGGGGGGAATTGAAAAGCGGGGGGGGGGGGCGTCAAAAACGCAATCCAAATGAAAAAAAAACGTTGGAGAAATATACTTTTGAACTTGAAGAAATGTATTATTTGAAATAGTATATGTCTAAGTATAGTCATGATTATTAATACTTGTCCTTTTTTTTTTTTCTTTTTTTTTTAAAGATTGTAATTTCAAGGTAAAAACTAAAATTGAGGGGATACACGAATTTTCTGAACAGCGGTGCATACTTGGTTTACTTCCGTTAGGCTGCTTCGTTTCAATTGTTTAAAAAAGTATACTTAAATAAATAATAATAAGGCTTTTTATCTGTGCGCCGAAAAAATAGCATAATTTTTGACAGCTGAACAATGTTAAACTCACTCAATTATTACTGATCTGGATTACACCACTTAAACATTAAATTAGGTTTGTCCATGATTGTAACCGTTCAAAATTTATTGTTCACTATACATTTGGCAAATATAAGTGTCTCAAAATTTTTGACTGATTTTTAAATTAGTTTACAATATTGCAAAAAATACTCTAATAACGGGATGTTGTATACTTCATATTAAAACATTTAATGAACGTACGTTGTACATGTAAGGGCCTACCTCAGAGCAAAAACATAATACATACGCTAATAAGTGAGGCAGTTTCTTCCGTAAAGTACCTGGGTGTTACCATTCAAAGAGAGGTCCGCTGGATATGGAGAGCATATTAACAATGTATGTAACCAAGCAAACAAGACCCTGGGTTTCTTAAGGCGTAATCTAAAGATTGGCAACTCCTGTGTGAAAGAAAGAGCATATAAAGCCTTTGTCCGTCCGGTTTTAGATTATGCATCTTCAGTCTGGTACCCATTTACCCAGAAGAGCATTGACATGTTGGAAGCGGCCCAGCGACGGGCGGCACACTTTGTCCTGAACCGCTACAGGAATAGCTCTAGTGTTGCGGCATGCTGGAAACACTAGGCTGGTCACCATTGGAGGAACGACGACGACAATCCAGGCTCTCCATGATGCACAAGATAAATAATGAGCTGGTCCACTGTTCCAGTATTAAACAGAAACTCGTCCCTCTGCCCCATAGACAGCGACGAGGCCATGACGGGCAATTCCGGCTTATACCAGCAAGAAGCCAGTATATGAAATGCTCATTCCTGCCCAAGACAATAAGGGACTGGAACAAGCTTTCAAAAGGAACAGTTGAGGCGACAACACTTTTTGTGTCTATTGCCTCAAGCCTTCAAACCCCTAGTGCATGATTCCCTCACAAAGTGGCACTTGCAATCAGTCAAATATCCTCGTCAACACCAGGCACATAAACATTGCAAATCCCCTCTACGTGCATAGGAGCCAAATGATCAACAAATTGACCGTGGGCCCTTAATATATAGAAGAAGGAGAAGTGAAAATCTTCAAGTAAACTTCTTGTCTGTGGTGGGAGGGGGGGGGGGCATCAAAATTGGAAATGCTATAATAGGTCCCTCGAAAAAATTTAATAAACGATCGTAAATATAGAAGCAGTTTGCCACCAGAGTGCCACCACAGCAGGCTGTCATCAGAGCAGGGTGCCACCAGAACAGGGCGCAACTAGAGTAAGGTGTCATACGAGAAAGAAGACTCGGTAGAGGTACGTGGGGAAGAGGGGGGGGGATGACACCATGAATGTACCGCACTGGATGACCTATCAGCCCCGTGATGCCACTGCACACTCATATTAATTATTTTTGTCACAGCAGTCTGTCTGTTCAAAGTTTTAATTAATTTTTGTCAATATCCAATATCATCGACTTCATCAATATTTTGGGTTGATTCATTTGTATTTTTCTTAAATTTCTTAGGAAATTTATGGACAATGTCAATGTTTTTACGGAATATCCGTAAATTTCTGGATAGTTGGCAAGCCTGCTTTGAGCTAAGGTAAAGGAGTTGGTTCATAATAAATGCAAGGAAATGAACTCTTATTGCTTACTACTTGATTTTAAAATAATAGAGCTCATAGGTAGCAATGATAATATTGTTTAATAATATAATGAAAATTTGAAAAAAGTTGGGGGGGGGGATTTTTTTGAGTTGGCCCCGGGTGGTAATAAGTCAAAGTGCGCCACTGCCCATCTGGGACCATATTTACTAATGAAGGGCCTTTTCAAAAATCAAATTTTTTTTTTCATTTAAAAATCTAACAACTCAAAAAATATTATTTATTTGCACCAATTATTCGAATGCCATTAAAATCTTATTTACATAATGCCCTGGAATTTCTATATTGTGACCTTATTTACATAATGTCTTGGAATTTGTGTGTTGTGAGGATTTTTAGCTTTTTTTTTTTTTCGTTATATTTCTTTAGTAAACCCATCTAATTTTATCTAATCTAAAAGTTGGCGGCCCGAGCCCTTAGGATTTTTATGGACACACTGAAAATCTCAGTTCGCGACCCACACTTCCCCATATTGCTGGCGGGCACAGCCTTTGCATAAAGAGGTGAAGGTCACTATAAAATGTCCCTAAAACGCCACTATAAAATGGCTCCTCATTCAGGTTCCTATGATCGTACCCATTTTTTCCCCACCCCGAGGACAAGTTGCGGGTATATTTAGGTCTAATTGGGTAAGGGGATCTTCACTGGTACCCCTTGTGAAGTTTTCCTTAGCGCTGTCTTCCACTTTGAACATGAGCCCTCCTGGCTCCGAAAGTTAAACAATGCATCACATAGTGCTAGTTAGTTGCAGTGACGAAACCACCGCCCAAGAGACCTGCCCTCAACAGGGTTTTCTTTTTCATCATAGATGACACCAAAATCTCCCGTATCCGGAAATTTGTTACCAACTGGCGATTAAGAATGTACTTAAAGTCGTGTTCATCTATGAAATGCTTCAAATTTTTCTAGCCTGTCCGCTTTGTACCCACTCCAAGAGTAACCATGGTGCAACTGGTCCACTTGCACCAGGCCTACGACGAGATGAGTAATGCAATGCATTATTTTAAAATCCTTTATACTAACCTCGCTTTTTTTCGTGTGTTTCTTTCTTTCTGTCTGAGTGTGTTGCAAAAGCTTTGGATCGCTAATTGACCCACTCCCCGCCAACCTATCGAGAATGAACTTTTCACATAGTCTCGTTCGCTGCCAATGACAACACATGCTATTAAATTTTCAGACCCCACTCCTAACCCCAAATTTTTCCTTGTTTTTCTAGGGGAAAATGAAGGAAGTATAACGTCACTGATTTCACCAAAAAATGAGATTTGAAAAAAAATATTGCAAGTGCGTTTGGTGCGTACTATTTTCTTGTGTTTTTCTGAAATAGTAATACACAGGCAGTGGGACATTGTAATATTAATGCACCGGAGTTAGTTAAAGGGAATGAAAAAGTGCGGTTGTGAGCCTTGTTTGGGGGGGGGGGGCGTGCACTAACTGGGATTCTTATAACGTGCGTTACTTGAATGCATGATTTGTCAATTTTTCAGCCCCCACCCCACCCCGCTCAATGACTCGATATTACATTTTATAAAGGATTTATACGAAACACTTTGTTGTTATGGGTTAATTGATTTATTACTTAGATTAATTGATTTATTACTTAGGTTAATTGATTTATTACTTAGGTTAATTGATTTATTACTTAGGTTAATTGATTTATTACTTAGGTTAATTGATTTATTACTTAGGTTAATTGATTTATTACTTAGGTTAATTGATTTATTACATCGTGTGTTTCTTGAGACAAAAATTGAACTGAATAAATTCACAGTCTTATATTTCCATGAGACATAGCATCGGATCATCATAAATGGCACTATCTGGCCTGCATCACCACATAGTCCACTCGGACCTATCCAATCCACAGCCTTTCGTCTTCATGCGAGGATCGCCGAGCTGATGTAAATTTGAATATAAATCATCCATCCATCTCAGTTTCGGTATACGGATAAGCAGACAGCCTCTTGTATTCTGCCGTTATAGGCCATACTCCTCTATAATCTGGCATTTTCTTGATGTGCCTTGTGACCTTGTCTAGCACAACCTGCATTTTTACTGCCGTGAGTATGGTTCGTGCTTCGTTGGCTACGCCACCGAGAGCATTAAATCTAAGGCAAAGTACAAAGTCGGGGGGGGGGGGGGGGTAATTTTTAGGTTTTCAAAAAGCAAAAATGTTCAAAAACGCAAAATCAATGTTCACCCAAGCTGCGCCATCCAACAGAAGTAGACCTACATTCTACATCCTGAACATGTAGGCTAGGCCTATTGCAGCATGAAGGGCACAGTGACAGTGGCCTACAATAGTTTGGGTTGATAAAATCAAGGGTATTAATCTAAAAAAAAAAACAAAGTTTATTAATGAAAAATAATGTACTTTTAAAAATTTGCATCTATGGTTATTGGCTCCATAATTATTATTTGCGGTACCTCGATTATTGGGAAAATACGTTCTGCGAAGCATTTATTTTTATTTGTCCAAAATGACTTCGCGGAGGCGTATCCAAGTGCAATATGTTGGCTGGTTTGATTTCTTTACGTGAAAGTGGGCTGGGTTGGCTATTTGTTGCTCCATTAAAACAGCTACTATAATTTTCTTGTTCATTTCATTAGCAACTTAGAAGCAAACTTAAAATGTCAGCTAGAGGTGGAAAAAAGAAACAGAAAGTAATGTCTCGGTCTGCCCGAGCTGGTGTATTATTTCCAGTGGCTCGAATGCTTCGGTATTTGAGAAAAGATACACATCACCTTCGCATAGGAGCCGGTTCACCAGTGTACATGGCTGCAGTCATTGAATATCTTGTTGGTTGGTGTGCTACTAAAATCACTTTTTAAAAAATGCGATAAATTTTGATAATGTTTTATCAAGGGTTTTATTAATTGCAGTCTTCTAAATAAAATATTTTAAATTATTAGTTTGGTATAGTATAAGCTATACCATGTACACTCCTGTAGTCTATACCATACTCATACTCATACATACATTTATACATCTTGACTTTCAAAATCAGGTCAACTTAATTCTTCAATTTATTAAAACTTACTTCAAGTCCAAGTGCCAGTCCAGGCACTTACTTTCTTTAAAATGAGCATACTACTACAAAATCACTGATATTAAGTAATAATGCTACATTTTTATAGTACTTAAACAAGAATTCACAATCACAAGTAGTAATAATTAGAATACAATTCAATAAAATGATTATGGCATACAATTACATTTAATAGTTAAATTAATGTCATTAATTTTAATATTTTCACTTAATTTTCAGGACACCAACTAAAAACAATACACAGATCTATTGTAGGCCCTATAAAAAAAAAGCAAAGAAATAAATTAGATACATGAAAAACCCCTCATAAGTGACCATGGGTTGTCTATAGCCACTGATTATTTCAAGCTAAAAATAAATATTGTCGTCTCTAGTTCTCTGGCAATTATATTAATGTTATTGTATAATTTTTTTGTCAAGTAAGTTCGAACAAGGTTTTTTTTTTTTTTATTTTTTTAAAAAATTTTTTTTTTTTTTTTTTTTTTTTTTAATATATTTTTTTTTTTTTTTTTTTTTTTTTTTAATTTTTTAAAAAATTTTTTTTTTTTTTTTTTACATATTTGGATATTATCATTTCCATTATTACAGCTGAAATCTTGGAGTTGGCAGGGAATGCAGCTAAAGAGTTCAAAAGGGGCAGGATTACACCGAGACACATCTTGTTAGCTATTGCAAATGATGATGAATTACATCAGGTGAGAGTGGTTATGACTGTGACATTACCACTATATTCTATATATCACGCCACTGGCCCAAATGAAATATTTAAATAAAATTAGAAAGATCAAACTTGATATTTTCTCACAAGAGGTAGTTTTAAAAAAGAATTTCTATATAATACTACACAACATGTTTTCCAGATGTAACATATAATTAAGTAGTAGGCCTATGCACATTGATGTTAATGAAATAAAAAAAATTTCATGACATAAAACCCCCCAAAATCCACATTTTAATTTTTAAACTGAATTTCAGATCAATCTTTATATCTTTAAAAACTATATTTATGCTTTGCTCATAATTATATGATATAAATGTTGCTAATTAGAGAAACTTTTTAAAAACTATAACACAAAAGTCAAATTTATTGATTAATATAACAAATGTATTAATCTAACTTGTTCTATTCAGCTATTGAAGCATGTTACAATCGCACAAGGTGGTGTTGTTCCTAAAATACATGCAGCCTTGATCGGGCCATCTCGGGGTAAACAGCATGCTGCAGCAGTGGCAGCAGCAAGTTCACCATCCACCTCTCCATCCAAAGTCAAAGCAGCAGCTAAAATTCCATCCAAAAAAGGAGCAGTTGCTACTTCAAATTCCATTGCAGCTTCTAAAACAGCTCCTTTCAAAGGAAAGCCCAAAAAAGTTTGTAGAACATTTTTTTTTAGTTGTATCCCCACCATGGTTCTCAATTCAATAAAATAATAAAATGCTCTTTAAATAAAGTACTGTAGTATGATTAAGTTAATGTTAAACTCACTAAATACTGCAATGTTATGGAATTTTATCGTTTTGTTGAAACAAATTTAAAATATTAACATTTTTTATGGAATTCTAATAAGATATTAAAGATGAATGGCCACTGAAACTAACATCATTGATACTCGTGAGAATTTTCTACATTCAAAAAGGAAAGAATTGTTTGACAGAACAATCAGCCTGTAGATCTTATTTTAATTTGTTGGATAAATATTAATGTATGTCAATTATGATGTTTCCTTTAATCAAATTTTCATTTATCATTTTTGACGGTGTATAAGACTAGCCCACTTATTTAGACAGATTGAAGTTTCAAGTCATAATTTTGATTACCGGTACATAAGATACGCCCCATATTTTAGGTGTATTTTGAAGGGGAAAAGTGTGTCCTATACACTGGTATATTAGATAATTTTGCAAACAACTTTTATTTTCAAATTTTTTAATTCCAAAAACAAGATTAATTTCTACCAGGCGACCATGTTAGAATTCAGCACAGATATAAAAATGGGGCATTGTTTAAATTAGAATTATGAGATATCAAGGTCAGAGTTATCAAGAGTTGGAAAAGTATTTTGTTACAAAAAAGACTCTAGCTTTCTTACTGATCTGTTTCCATTTTATTTTTTTTAACTTGTAGAAAAAACCCCACCATCTACATGTTAGCGTGAGAAGAGTTAATTAAGAACTTACTTTATATCCAAGAATTTGAAATTAACTCATAATAGCTCGTTTATTTATATTAAAATTATAAACCTTCTCTCTATTTAGGCAGACTCTATACCTGATGGAAGCGGGGGGTTCATGACTCTCTCAGAAAAAAAATTGTTCCTTGGTCAAAAGGTGAGAGGAAACAATTGAAAAAATACAATGAGTGGATTTTTTTACTTTTTGAGCCTATAACATTTAATTTGCTTTGCCAATTCTTAAAGGATATTTATTTTCTCTGTCTTTTGTTTTAACTTAAAAGTTAAAATTGAGGTAATATAAGTGATCATTATTGTCTTTTGTATGGCTTAAGTACTGTACTTTCCAAGATATGATATAAGCCCCTAAATTATTATGTTCCATCTTTATGATCACACTAGCTTAAAGAATTTGACTGTAGGATTTTGTTTCCTTCCTTTGAAAGTTAACTGTGATGCAAGGTGACATAGTGAAAATGAATGCAGATGCCATTGTCCACCCAACTAACTCTAGCTATCATTTAGGGGGTGAAGTGGGTAAGTCCATCAGCATAGCACATAATTTAATTTAATTTCTATAACTCATTATTTAATGATGGTGGCTTAAGAGGCTATATAATGCGACTATACACAGTAATAGGATCAAGTTAAACTCACCTAACACTGCAGTGTTATGAAAAGTTATTTTTTGAGTAAACAAAGTATGATAAAGCATTGTCACCTTCCTCAAAAACAGCTTTTAGGGCACTCTATGAAACGAGAACTATGTTTATTTACCTTTAAACTAATATTTATTTGTTACTGCGGAATTGTGATTGTCACTAATATGGAAGATATTAGTTAAATTGATTATAATATTTGCCCGTGAATGTCTTTATGTAAACTAGAATGTAAATTAACATTTTTTAAAAATATTTGAGAAATTTTATACTCAATAAATTGTATAATAGGGTATCGAGCACATTATACCAAACTTTATTTCATTTATTAGTTGTCGGCATTGATGTTAAACTTATCTGTTTCATTGGAGAGTATTTTATTCTACTTATTCCTTGATAGCGTGATAATTATTTGTTTTTTTTTAGAATATGTTAATGCAATTAAGAATTACTACTGTTTTTAAAATAGCAAAAAAGGGTGTTATAATTCTTTAAAAAATGTAGTTTTGTTAAATTATTTTGTAATTAGAACCATACGATTATCAGTGAAAGTCCTTATTGAAAGTTTTGATTTCTTTGAATAATTAATTTTAAAATCTCCAGGGAAATTTAAAGAAATAAGCAGCTTAAATTGTGTGTTTTGGACATTTTAATTTTGGTTTCAATTGATCTAGGCCAAGCTATACAGAAGGCGGGAGGAAAAGAATTTCAACAAGAAGTCGACAATTTACTCAAAACTCAAGGTTCAATAGGCACAGCTGATGGTAAGCTGATTAATAAACTTATAGTAGTTTAGTTTTATTTCAGTTTAACTGCTAGTATAATGAACTTGTTTAAGTATCAATTATAGATTCTACTAAAGGCAGCCAACCTCTTGCTCAGATCATACATCATATTTCTTGGTGGTTATCTTTATTCAACTTGATTCTCTTCTGCCAAACATCAAAAGATTACTTGTTGCTATGTGGATACCATTGGCCTTCCAATAGATAACATTGGCCTTCCAGTGGATACCAATGGCCTTCCAATGGATACCAATGGCCTTCCAATGGATACCAATGGCCTTCCAATGGAGACCAATGGCCTTCCAATAGAGACCAATGGCCTTCCAATGGAGATCAATGGCCTTCCAATGGATACCAATCTTCATCTGTACCATGATACATTTTTTTCTTTTCTTTTATTAAAAACGAAGCATTTATCTTTATAAACCTTGAAAAATTACTATGATATAATTTTAAAAATTTATAAGCTGTTGTATTGTAAATAATTTAAAAAACTAAATTATGTGCCTTTTAAATTGCTCATAATTTACTATCTACTAAAGAATTGAAATGACACCTTAAGAAAATAAAATGAAAACTTATTTAAATATTATCTGTAAAATACAAATTTTACTTTTGAGCACTTAGCATGCATCTTTTATCATACAATATAGGCCACACTTTTTCCCCCGCTAATACAAGTCTTTTAATTAGGGGTTTCGGCAACATCGGGCCCAATGTTGCAACAAAATTTGTTTATTTTTAATACCGGTATATGTGAACACCAAACTTTGAATTATAATCAGGAGCTGCCTATACTCTGAATAATACAGTAGATATAGAGAAGATTTTGTCAAATAATGTGTTTAAAATAAATGCTATTAATTTAATTTACTTTGCTACTTCTAAATTCAAAGGTTTGTCATGTAAATAGGAATTATGTAATTTGAAATTCGACCTCTTATTTCTTTAAAAAACTTATTGAAAGGAAATTTCCACAAGATGACCCGAAAATTGAAGAAATAAAATTGTGTCTCACTTAAGAATACTGTTTGATCAAATAGCAGTGAAAAGGACTGTTTTGAGACAGAACAAAGGTCAAAAGGTTAAAAGCAAGCAGCTTGCCCACTAGATCATAAAATATTCCTTAAAAAAATTATCTGGTTGTGATATTTCAGCCGCCATTTGTCCGGGCCACAAGTTTTCAGCAAAGTTTGTGATCCATGTAAACAGCCCATCATGGAGTGATAATAACTCCCAACAAAACTTAGACAAGGCAGTGAAAAATGTCCTAAAGCTGGCCGATGAGAAACAGCTTAAAAGTGTGGCCTTACCTTCTATTAGCAGTGGGAAGTAAGTGGTCTTGTTTGGTGCTGGGTATGATGTTTGTCTCATGAATTATATAGAAACAAAGCTGCATGATTCCATAATAAAAAAAATACAATTTTATAGTACTTTTAAAGTCAGAGGCTGAGATGGTCAAAGATGGCTGTGCGAGACATGAAATGAGCTTTGCCTCACCTGAAGGAGCTCAGGCACAGTTTCTTTTAATTTTGATTTATTTGAGTTCTACTGAATACCATCCTAAATTTTGAATCATGCCGGGCTGGTTGATTCTGTACAATTCATGAGTGCACAGCTTGTAAACAACCGCCATGAACAGGAAATCATTGTTTCTTTCTCTTCCCCCAACCTCACACCTCTTATGTTAGCCACTATATGTCCTGCACACCACATCCCGGCCAAATTTGTAATCAACTGTAATGGGCCCACGTGGAAGCTGGACAATGCCCAGGCCCTGCTGGATCAGTCCATCAAGAACTGTCTCCATTTAGCTGACAGCAAGGGCCTAAAGACAGTGGCCATCCCATCGCTAGGGAGTGGCCGGTAAGATTATGCCATTACATTTTTAGCTAGTGGACCCTTGTACATGGCTGCTTATTTTCATTCAAACTAATTATGACAATAGACTAAAGGGAAAAGAATTGGAGACTTTTTATTTCACCATTTATTTATAGAAAGAAAATGCCCTTTTATATTGCAAGTAAATTCTGATTTTAACACTAGTCCTGAGTCACTAAGTGAAGTTTTGTTAGCTCATATTCCACATTGAAGATACCTCTTCTGATGACAAAATCATTACATTAGTTTGCAGTTTGCAATGATTTGCATTAAGCATTAAAAAAAAACCTATGTGCTAAATGCACATTGCTTGGAGAGACTCCTGGACATGCTGGGTAAATTCCCAAAACGCGGAAATTGTTTCAGAACTATTTGTAATGCTGGATTTTTCTTTTTCAGCTCAGTGCAGAGATTAAATTAAAAAATGTTTATGCATACAATTTTTTTTAACCTTCTATGCAGTCAAGTCAATTGACTGAAGTTTGTCTTTATTTTGACTGGTTTTTTTTTCAAACTTATTTGTTTAGATAAATAATAAGACAAGAAATATGTCACAGATTTCATATTTGTATATTTGATAAGTCTCAACAGGAGGAAAATTGACTTATTTCTTCTGTAAATATGAGAAGCACATTAGACTTGCTAAGTGAAAAGACTGATTTTACCTTTATAGTAATTTTTCCGAACTAATACTGTTGTTTTTGGGGAAATATTAATTTCTGCTGGAAATTTTGTGCAAATTATTTACATTATCTTATTTTGGTTAGGTTTAAATGTCCTATATTTGAAAAAAAAATATTTTCGTTTCAGTGCTGGATTCCCAAAGCAAACTGCAGCTCAGATCATCCTTGCATCCATCAGGGACTACTTTTCAAATGCGAAATCTTCATCCCTTAAACAGATCTATTTTGTCCTGTACGACGCCGAGAGTGTAAATGTATACACGACGGAGCTAGCACGTCTTGACGGTTGAGCTTTTCACAGCTTTTTTTTTTCTTCAATTTGTCAAATTCCTGAGTTTTATTTTATTTTTTATAAATTTCGCAACCGTGGTCCCTGTACACACATCTTTGTTTTATTCCGAGTCTTGCTATGTCCAATATTATAGCTCAGTTATTATTTATACTCAGCATTTTTTCCTTAGGCATGTGGTAGCCTGTTGGTTTCCTAGCTAATATTCCGTGAATATTTGCAGCTGGAGATGAAATTTCCATGTTATAATTTGGAAGGTGAATGTTGCCGCTGTGTTGAATCTGTTAAACATAGCTGGAACTGAATGATTTTCACACACAACATTTGCCAAAGATTGTGTAGTTCAATGTAGAGTTGAATTTTGATCTATTCCATCCTGGCTAAAATGTTTCACCTGGCCCATCTGTTGTGTTATGCCTTAAAATGGGACCGATCTTTCCAACGCACAATTTCTTTAAAATTGACCTCGTCATGGTAATAAAAATACATCATAGGCTCAAAGTGCATTAGATTTAATAGAGTACAAGCTTAAATGTACCGTAATGGTTCCATAATTATTTCATCACTAATTTTATAGACTCTCGTTTACTGCTACAAAATTATTCATTGACTTTGATTAATTTCAATTCTTCTAATTCTAATTCTTCTGCAGGAAATTGAATTTCACTTGCTAAGCGTACTGGCTTGACTATTGCAAACCAGTATGATCAATGTGAGAATAGTACAATTTAATTTTTTAAGTATTATACAATATTATAATTTCATGCAGTTGATTCTGGATGTGCTTATTTTGATTTGTTAGGTGGTAGAAAATGAAACAATTTGACTAGTTTAGTTCATTTTCTTAAAAAAATCTTTATAGATAATTTAAAATTACTTACTTTGAATAACGATGAAATTGTATTGAATATGACAAAGAAGCTGCTTTATGGTTTTAGTGGTGGATTTAAAAGTCATTGGCAGTACCGGTATCATGTTATTTGGCTCACAACCATCTTATTATTACTTTACCTTGTATATAACATGAATCATCATTTTTACATCAGTGTTTTTAATGGTGATAGTTAACTTTTTTAGGTCAGATTAAATGACTTATTCAATTAATAAATCATACTTTAAGTTTTGTTTTGAAAATTAAAAAATATTGTTTGGGATCTGTGGAGCCATAAAATATCTAGATAACAAAAAGTGGGGGGGCCACTTTGAAGGCCTCAATATAATTGTGTGGCGTTTGAAGACAGACTTCTTCCAGCAAAAGTGCTCAACTTAATGGTTATGAAAAAAACCAACATATGGCATTGAGGTTTGTAGCCACCATTGCTAAAGGGCAACTCTTGGCTTAGACTTCTTTTTCTTTTTTAATACAGCAGGCATTACAATGTTGCTGCACACTAAGGCCAAGGCATAACAAAAGCAGAAGCTTTCTTTGGGAAGTAAAAGTTATTTGTTGTTTAATTATATATGTAGTTGTCTACAAGGCAGCTTGGTTGCTCTCTGTTTAATGCTATCAATTTATTTCAGTTGGTGAGCTCAGAGTTTTGGTTTCATAGCAAGACAGAAACTGTAAATGTTCCTGCATGTATTATTCAGAAAACTTAGTGAAGGCAATAACCCATAATATTGCTAGTTGACTGTATCTGTAGTCTTATTATTTTATCCAATTATTTCATGTTGAATATTAATGTTGTTTATGTGTTTATTAGCACTTTTTAAAAAACGTTCTCTGATCGACTTATACTTATAGGGCCAAATGTTTTACTTACTAACCGATACATGTGTATATTGTTTAATGAGGACGTGTGTTGTAAGTTAGATGTTAAAGGGGTATTATAGGCAGCACACAGTTGTGTTTTAAAAAAAATGAATTGTTCATTTTACTGTCAGTGAATTAATTATCAATGGATCATGACCGTCCTTCATTCAACTCACAATCTGTTTGCATTTTCATCAGTTTTTTTTTTCAATCATAAGTGCGACACCGATCATTCCCGGAGGTAACAGCTAGACATAGCATTGCTTAGAACAAGGTAAAACCATCACATAATATACCACCATAAAAATCACCATTACTCCGCATGTACTAATATGGCTAGAATCATCTTAACAGCATAGTCATATTCACCTGTGCATGATTTCTTTGCAAGCGTCATTTTATTCATAGTGTTTTTTTACAATGGGAAACTTCATTCTTTCTCTACTGCTTATTAAATGTACAATTTTTTTAACAAATTAACATTTCTTTATTCAGATGATGGTTCATTCAAGTGTATTAATTTTTCATAATAGTTTTGTTTCTTAATTGGGTTTATACATTTAAGTTGTATGTTTCATTTTATACAATTCTGCTTGAACATTCAATCACCTGCATTTGCTTATATTTTCCTTTTTAAGAAATTAACCATTCATGTAAATACTTTGCCATTTAAAATCTTTTTTTTTTTGTGTAGTTTGTATCATTTTCAAGTTGTGCCTGTTGTTGAGATTAACCTCCACCATTGGCTGACTTTTGGGCCACAGTTCACCTGATTGGATGGTAGGGGGATTCTAGTTTGTTTGACTGATGTGATCAGTACCAACTTTTGTCTTACTTGGATGTTCCATGTATTGTGATACACCCCCATTCTACACATTGTAATCACCTTTTTTTTAAAAAAAAGTATAATTTTGTAATCTGTTGGTGATAATTATGTAGGAACCATTCTGGGTCACCTGTGATGTTTTCTTTGGGCTGTGTCATTTTTGCTTATCAGTAATAAAGATAATTTTTTCAAAAGTCATTTCATTTTTGTTGTTACTTTCCTTCTGAATTTGATCTACCACCAGTTGGTTGTTTTAAGGCAGTGGTTCTCAACCTGTGGGTCGTGACCCCTTTGGGGGTCGCACGACCCTTTCCCAGGGGTTGCCTGACCCTTTCCCAGGGGTCACCTAAGACCATCAGAAAACACAAATACTCTACAGTTATGACGTAGCAACGAAAATAATTTTGTGGTTGGGGGTCGCCACAACAATGGAAACTGTATTAAAGGGTCGTGGCATTAGGAAGGTTGAGAACCACTGTTTTAAGGGATGATGATAGTAAGAGAAACAAAATGCCAATATGGCACGTTCAATGTAGCTAAATCTTTGGGTAAGTTTTATTTATTTATAAATATGAAAATCTGTACAGTATTAAAGTGATTGATTTATTTTCCATACACAGAATAATTAATAGACAAAAGGAAAATGTGTTCAGAAATGCATCATCAACAGCATAGAAAAACAACAACCAATTATTATTAAATGCCAAAACAACTTTATAAGGTCATAAAATAACTTATGACATTTAATAATTATGTAGACCGCACATCAGCATTTCATAAAATAGACATTCAATTTATACAAATGTTATTTGGTTCAATAACAGATTCAAAATGGATTTTAAGCAACAGGGAAACTTTGCAGTAACGAAGCACTATTTATAGTTTAACATATTTAAAGTGCTCATTTACTATGAGGAGTAATTCATTCAAAGATTTCATGCTTTTAAGACCAGCAAAAAGCAAATTGAAGCTTAACTGTGGTTTCGAGGAAGTTCCTAGTGAAACTATGATCATGTATAAAAGACATGGACCAGTTATCCAGTGGGATACTCTTTGGAATGCAAACATCAGAAATCTTTTTCTTTTTTAAATGAACTTAGCTGTAACTTAGCTGTAACTTAGCTGTAACTTAGCTGTAACTTAGCTGTAACTTAGCTTTAACTTAGCTGTAACTTAGCTGTAACTTAGCTGTAACTTAGCTGTAACTTAGCTGTAACTTAGCTGGTAGGACGAAATCCTGATGATTTTGTTTCTATTGACACACCGAGTTTGACGTTCGGTGGTTGGGGCCTTTTACTCAGGGAATAGCTCCTACTCAATGATAGCTGCCTTGTCCAAAGTAACACCAGCTACCTCTTTTTATTATGTTTTTTTTTTATGTTTGAGGGTCCAAAATCAATGTATTGATCATTTTGGCTCCTGGTTTGAATTCAGAGTTAGCCTGCTCTTAGATGAGTTGCCTTCCCAGGTTAACAAGTCCCATCCATCCGGGGTGCTTGGGACCTTTGACTTTGGCAGGGATTGAACTCCAGACCACCACTATTTGGAGTGAGTCAGTTGAGATAGTTAACACTTGACTTTGTATGAATCTTCAAAGTCATTTGGGTATCAACAATAAATAGTGAAATGATTATTTAACAAAGATCAGACGATGAATAAAAAAAAACAACTAATGCATAGTTGGATTTTTGTTAAAGGCCAGTTTTTTTAAAAAGAATTCTTTATGTAGATAACGCTTTCCCCATCAAATTAACATACTGTTATCCAATCCCACAACTCTTTCAAACATATTGCCAAGTTGCACAAGCTCTTCATCTTACACATCTATCAACTAATACCACTAGCAAGTAACTGTATTTGTTTTAGACATATTGTTGTTAATGACATCTGTCGATTCCTACTTCATGCATCTTCAGACTGCAACCGCACACCACACTTGGGATTTTCTCATGACATCATCTCTTCTGGCTTTTGAAACAGTGCCATAGACATTGTCTTATAAACAGAAACAGTGAGCTCAGAAAATAACCAGCTTACTAATCAAATCCCCCCCCACAACTATCTGTGAACTGAAGAAGACAGTATATGGGTCCTGTACTGAACACTGAGGCCAGTCATCCAGAACTTGAGAAGCTGTTTATCCTCATCTCTGGCCCCAACAATCTGGAGAAATTAAGAAAATTTTTTTTTTTAAAATCACTCAGTTCCCTCCCCTTTGTTGAATGTGTCCAGTTTTAAAAAATCTATATCAAAATATCCAAAAACAAGTATTTTTTGTGTCCTAAGTTAATTTAGTTAAAATAATTTAAGTATAAGGCACTTAAAGCTAAACTTATTTATCTGAAAAATTACTTTGACTGGTGCTCTGTGAGCTGATTCCCCAGTGTTCGTTTCAAAAAGTAGCTTTAGGAATATTTCCTTATCAGTTACCTGCAAAAGTTTCTTTGTATCCTCTTCACTTCTGTTGCCCCCAGCTTTGGTAAACTTAAACAAGACCTTGACTTTACTGGTGACCAGAAAATTATGCTTACTCATTATTAGATATTAAAAAAAACAACAACAAAATCAAACATACCAACTACATAAGTCTTGTTTACAACTTTATTTGATGAAAAATTGTACAAACACATTGTTACTGCTATATAATTGCTGAAATACATTGTTAGTAGCCATTTTTTATCAAATCCTTGTCTAAAGATAGTAACATTATGTAAAGCTATGTGACGTTTTCTGGTCTTAGAAATGACAAGCCCTATTTTTAAATATGTTTTTTTTTTATATTGACAATGACTTTTAATTTCTCTAATGTTCTGCACCACAAAAAAAGTGTTAACAGCTTGATTGAAGACTACAACTATGGTTCTATTCACAGATATTGTAACTAGTCCTGTACACATTTTTTCTGTAAACCAGGAAAATCTATATTTGTTTCAACTGTCCAATCTTTAATTTTTCTTTACACACCGGCATATGTGGAAAAAATTAGAGGGAAGAGTGGAAGGTATTACTTGAATTTCTAGGAGATAACACAATGTACTTACTTCATCCATTCTTCCTTCAAGCATGTAAAAGCTGCTTCAACAACTTCTTGGCTTAAATTCTTGTTCTGTAAGGCCATAACCATTCTTGTGAGAACCGTGGGGACTGGGGGAAAGATAATAAATATTTATTTACGCCATGTAAGAAGTCAGTCTACAATACACTTATTATTTCATTATAGTCCAATAGTATCCAATGACAACGTGAGTAAAATTATAGATTAAGGTTTTGATAAATACCTCGTGAAGAAAGCGTAAATGGGGTGGTGATATTGAACTGAAAATCTCTAAGCCTTATGTCTCCATCTAAATCTGCATCACTGATGTCCGAGTCAGGTCCACTCCAGCCAAAGCCCTGACCCGTGGCGGCCTCTTTCGGAGAACTCAAGGCTGGCTTTTCTACAATCTCAAGATGGACAAACTGCTCTGATAAAATCACATGCTGGGACAGCAATACATTGGGTGAAAGTCCCAAAAAATTGCACTTGTAAGACTCAACATATTCTGTACTGTATGGAACCACACGACAACAACCTTTAGGCAGTAAACCCTGGAAAATAGTACACAATGTTTGTTTTCTCAGGCACAAATCCATTGAGGGTAAAATATAACAGGATGTTTCGAGGTTGGTTGTATTTGAGGAGGTCTCAAAATTGTTTTGAGTTCAAGATTTGCTCTTATGGGTTAAGCTTTACCAGCTTTAATTTTCATTGATGATAACTTTCAATCTTAAAGGATTTAAAAAAACAGAAACATAATAAAACTTAACATGAAATTCACTAAATTTATCAGAATGATAGTTTCAATAAAATATCTACCTTGAGCGAGTTAAGTATAGAGGTGACTAGTGAACGTTGATGGCCACTTACGATGACCTGGTTTCCCACTACAACATGATGAGCCAGTGATAGAAAACTGGAGCTACCCAAAATCTGAAATAAAATATTCAAGTCAATATAATCAAGTCAATATATTCAAGTCAATATAATTAAGTCAATATAATCAAGTCAATATAATCAAGTCAATATAATCAAGTTAATATAATCAAGTCAATATATTCAAGTCAATATTATATTTTCACAAGAGTGTGAGTCAACACATTCAGTTAAAACATATTTACCACAGCAAAGGTGTTAAGATTTTCAATATTTGTTTTTTTAGTTTAGATATTTTTTAAAAATTTACAATTCTAAATATTGTTTTATAAATTCTTTAATCTCATTGCGGTATTATTATTGAAATTAATATAACCTGATAATTATTTTCAAACCAGATGTAAAAAGAATTTTTTAAAATTTTTAAGTTGATAGTTCTTAAAAGTACCCGGTATGTATATTTTATTTAATATTTCAGAAATGATTTTTTTGTTTCTTGAACTTTTGCCTAACATCATTCTACAAATGACATATTAAAGACAAATCATGGTCACAAATGTTTAATTTTCATGTTATTCTTTTATAACCTTTAAAGTCAGAGAACAGAAATTAGCGATTTTTTAAAAATATGAACAGCCTGCTTGAGAAATTATATCTTCTTATTTAACGCAGCTGAGTCAATGTGCTTCAATTTCATGTTAGCAAAATTTGAGTTTTACCATTCGTAGATGTCGGAGATTTTTTATAACAGGACCTGAGATGATGTCCATTTCAGTCTCTGAATCCTTGCTGGGTTCTTTTTTTTCTACAGATGTTTTATCACTATTGGCCTCACTCTCAATCGCATCAAATTCACCCACTTTACGCATGTATATTTTGATGAAACCTTCTTCAGTCTCTGGAAAGTAAAACAAAAATTAAAACTGAAGCCTGGGCTGCTGAACAATAGTCTTATTAAATGTCTGAATTTTTATTAACAGCTCCTGACTTATTAAAAAATTCTGTTAAACAATAAGTTTATGCGAAATTTTATGTTCTGTTTACACTATCAGCTAAGTCAAATATTAGGTTTTGAGTTTACACTTTGGATGCAAATTAAAATGTAAAAAAAAAAAAAAAAAAGCAAGATAATAAATAATTAAATTTATTAATTTTTATTAACGGCTTCTGATTTATTAAAAAATTCTTTTAAAAAATAAGTTTTTGCGAAATTTTATTTTCTGTTTACAATATCAGCTAAGTCAAATATTAGGTTTTGAGTTTACACTTTGGATGCAAATTAAAATGTAAAAAAAAAAAAAAAAAGGCTTGATAATAAATTATTGCCTTTGTTATAAATACAGTGGTGTAGTTAGGTTATCACTCTTGGTGGGCTAAGATTTTTGCCTCCCTCATTCAATGAAAAAAATTCTGCAGTCAGCAGAAAACCCTGCCCCTCAATATAATGAAAATAAGTGCCTCTGCCCTTTCTACGCCACTGTTTAAATAAAGAATTTTTGTAATAAAACCTAAAAATTCAAGAGCTAATATGTCGTGCCATATAAATTTGCTCAAATTGAAATGTGACCAATAGTTTGACAGTGATATTGGTGTGTAAGACTTTGTATAATTATAATGAAAGAGAGAAATAACCTGATCTCTATACGTTGATATGAATTTTTGTGGTCAATCTCCAGGTTGCTGATTATTCCTGATTGAAAATTTTAACTCTTTAATTTTTATTATTATTTAGGTGACAGTGTAAGTAATAATCATTATATAACCACATTCGTATGATAAGTAGCTGGCTTTCACCTTCTTGTTTTTCCATATCTATGATTGTATCTTCAGTGGGTGGGCCTTCAAGCAGTGTTTCAGTTATGCGATTGCCACAGGATTTGAGTATCCACAAAAATGCAACATGAAGCATGCGAAACACATTTTTGTCTCCAGTGAGTTCTTGCAGTGAGCGAGCAGGTTTTGTCCCACCCCGTTGTTTGATAAAGTTTGATGGGTCAACTCTTGCACCTAGCCTCAATGGTCTTTGTGGGCATTTGGCTTCTTCCTGATTATAAACTTTCTGTGCCTGGAATTTAAAAAAAAAAAATGTGTTTAAAAAAACTTAGACAAAACCTGAAGTTTTTAAGATATCAATTTTCTTTAAAATACAGTATTCAAAATTTTAAAAACTTTGTTAAAAACTAACATATAAAAATTCAATGTACATTTAAAGTGAACATTCCTGGAGCTATAAAAAATTTATCATGTATAAGAACAGAAATTTCAGCAGTACTCTCATTTTAACCCATGCATTTATAATGTATGACAATCATTAATGCCATGTCATTCTTTGGTTTAAGATCTCTTTGGATTATATTTTGATAAACGTTTTTTAACATGCAGCTATATAAACTACTATTTTTTTAATGATTTAAACACTAAATTCAAAAGTGCAGCAAACTCTATGTCTAGCTTACTCTAAATTTACTATGAACTTTATTTTAACCAGTACAGTTGAATAAATCTTATTTACAGGTAAATATGATGTCAACAAACCTTATTTTGTAAATTCTCTATCACAATACGCATATGTGGGACTAGAAATGGCCAAGAGTTCAGGAGATAAATCTTATCCATCATGACAATCATGATTGAGTACCATCTATGCATGCCTCGTGCTTGACTATCGGGTACATAAAACGTGTAACTTAAAACATGGCCACATTGTTTATCACCAAAGAATATTGGTCCCTCTCTTCCAGGACAAACCTGTTGACAGATTAATTTTTTAAAATGTTTATTAAAAGTAAGGCTGAACAAGACAAACATCAATTATAAGTGTAGTACAAAATGATTTTGAAAAAAAAAAATGAATCAAAATAATTTAAAATGATACTGCCAATAAAATGTAAGCTTTTCTTGTAAAAATATTAATTTTGGGTCTAGCCAAAATAAAGAAAAAAAAACAAAATAATTTAAAAAATCATATTTTGACCCCAACCATGTATAGTGAATTAACAGGCTATATACCTCTGAGCTAAGGCTTCGAATGCAAGCCTGCCTGATTCTCGCAAAGACCTCAGGATTGTAAGGCTGTTGTGTGCTGACATAACTGACCTGTGCTTCATCATCATGACTTACAAAGCCAGTCTGTACGGATTTGCAACCCTAAAAAAGTGAGAAATAAAATGGAATTATTCAAACAAGATGCTTATAAATTTATCTTTCTTAAAAGGTTAAAAAGGATCAAAACCATAGAAATTAAAAATAGTTTATTATGAAGAAGATGGCTTAGAAAAGATAACGAAAAAATTAATTTGTCATTAAATTATACAATTTAACTATTTCTTTGCTATTTTAATTGCTTGCTTGTTTCCTTTTTTTTTAAAAATGTGAAAATTATACAAGGAAAACAAAAATAATAACTTATGTTTTTTAGACACAATCAATGGCATCTCTAAAAATAAGCCTACCTCACACTGGTCTTTAGCACAGCCTGAGAAAGAAGTGGACGTGTGAATATCAGCACTTGGACTTGGGGTAACTGATGTTGATTTTAGTCTGTGTGAAATATTGCCTTCTGCTTCATCTCCATCCAAGTTGTTAGGTTCTTGAGGGCGAAATGGTTGGGTGCAATATAGAATTTTAGGGCCATGTAGCTCACAGAAATGGCAGAGCGATATAATGGCATTCATTCTAATGCTGTTGAAACCAATTCTGCTGAAAATTGTAAAAAGAAAAAAACTTATTATAACAACTGGATAATGTGGCCTCAATTGTTGATGAGTTAACTTATGACATGACGTGTTGTTAGAAGTCTTAGACTAGACTAAGACTAATTAGAAATTAATAATTATGAACAAGCAAATCAGCAATAACAGAGTCAAGTTAACAGGACGAATACTACTAATTACTAGTACTACTACACACAACCCCAGTTAACACAAACAGTTACAAGCTCAAATAGTGACAGTGACAGCAGTATCAGTTATATGACATGAGTTAAAAATCAAATTATACCAATAATTAAAACCATTGTCAATGTGAAGACCCCTAACTCGGGAGAAACAATAAATCGTGAATGAATTATTGATTACAAATACAACGACTTAATGAATTTTAATTGAAATAGAATGAAATTCATAATTGATTAATTCATCAGTTTCAGTAATCAGCAATTATTCAAACAATTATATTGTAAATTGTACAATCATAATTAATAATAATAATATTATTCAATTCTTATGTCATTCATATGTAAAATAAATTAAATGTAAATACTTTTAAAATACAAACAAAAGTAAACATTACCACGGTTAACTCAATCTAATGACAACAAATTACAGTATAAATATAGGATGTATAGTAAGTACTACCTAATTATAGTTTTATAGCTTCACTTGTGGCTTAGGCTTACTGCAAATAATATCATTTTTCCGCATACGTATTTACAGTCGAAGAGAGTCATGTGACACTGATATTAAAATAAGTATTTGCTGTTCATTTGAAGTTACAGGTCTCTTAAGAGACTGGTTACCAGAACTTGGGAAATGTCCCAAGAACTTTCGAGTACACGACTGAATTTGGAATCTGGGGAATAATTTTGAAAATCAGGTGCAACCTTAGTAGATTTTAAAAAGAGTGAAATTGTTTTTGAAAATTCATAAAAAAAAAAAAAAAAAAAGCCATAAGCTTTGAAAATAAAGGAAATATTTATCATAAAAAAAAAAAAACGAACAAAGCAACATCTGATCTTTTTCACTAGTTTAAAAAATAAAAAAAAAAAAAAAAAAAAAAGCCATAAGCTTTGAAAATAAAGGAAATATTTATCATAAAAAAAAAAAAACGAACAAAGCAACATCTGATCTTTTTCACTAGTTTCCAGTAGGGAAATCAGCATTTAGGACATATCTTAATCTCCATGTGCACTAGCTGCAGAATTATTGAAAGTTGTGGTGTGTCCCGCCAATAATTTGCCGATGACACGGCACTGTACACGAGTTTCCGCCCTGAACCTTTGGACTGTGCTGCTGTTGTGCTGCTGCTGTGCTGCTGCCGCTGCTGTCCAAGCTGTCGAGGATTGTTGTCTTGTGGTGAAATCATGGATGGCAGCAAACAGACTTAAATTAAATAACGATAAGACAGGTTCTGATTTCAATATTAGGAAGGTTGCTATTAATGCTATCGCATCGATAAAAGACGGTGCTTTAAAGACCTCCCTGTCCAGCATGGTTAGAGACCTTTGCTTCTACATTGCAAACTTACTGTTATCCTTCATATCAGTTCTGTGTTCAGGGCTTGTTTCTTTCATCTTCTCGCTCCGAGTCAGCTGCGTCCTCAACTTAATAAGAGAGCAGCCAATGCTGCAGCAGTAACTCTAATCCAATCAAAATTAGATTACTGTAACAGTGTTGTTTGTGGGGTTTACCTCAAAACCAAATTCAGAGACCCCAGAAGGTACAAATAGTGCAGCACGCATTGTATGGCGTATAAAGACCACATCACCCCAGTTCTTAAAGATCTCCAATGGCTTCCTGTGAGTTAGCGCATTGACTATAAAAATTCTGTCCCTGGCGTACTGCTGTATAGAAGGCTCTGAACCTGGATATCTTCAAAAACTGATTCCTAAATAATGTATCCATAAAGAACCTGTGCTCTTCAACACAGTCCTTACTGAGAGTTCCCAATGTGGATGGACACAGAAAGAAGTCATGCGGAGTGTGCTCACCAACACAGTCCTTACTGAGAGTTCCCAATGTGGATGGACACAGAAAGAAGTCATACGGGGTGCGCTCTTTTGAAGCTATTGCGCCTAAATTGTGGAACTGTTTGCCTCAATCTTCAAGAAACATTGAAACTGATAAAAATTCATTTTAAGAACCATTTAAAGACTTGTTTCTATAAATAGATTGTAGGACCCCAGAGCGCTGCGAGCATGCTAAAATACCATGGACACCAGCGCTATAAAAGTAGGTAGGCCTACTCAATCATCATCATCGTCACCATTTGGCTTATTTATTGAAAGATGATAGTGAAAGCAGCTAGGACCGAATAAAAGTACTTTCAATTTTATGAAGTCTTTAAAAGTTATTTTAATTAATTCTGCATTATAACGTGTAGGCCTACTCCGTCAATTCTAAAAAAAATGTCTACCAATGTAAACGTTGTTAAATAAGTAAACACAAGCAATTCAATTGGTTTTCCCCCTACAGTTTTTTTTTAAACATTCAGTTACTGAATTAATAATTCCATATAGCATCGGCCTAATTTATTACTTGGGGGGGGGGGGGGGAATAGCAAAATTGAACG